CAAGACAATTCATGAAGGAGTTCTTAGCTACTTGGATTGCAAGCTATCTCCTATCTGGGCATCCTATCAAAGCTCCGGTAACCTTTCTCAGATCAGAGCAGAAATCAATGAAGAACTGTTAAGGCTTCAAAGACTGGAGGATGAAGCTCTGCAAGCAGCTACTATGGAGAATGTGTAAGGAATCTTTTCTGTAAATTGTATCTAATAAAATCACATCTCTGCCTTTCACTTTGTAAGGCTATTCCTCAATTCCTGTCTCTTTGCCTTTTATTTGTGTTTGTTTGCTCTTTGATTTATTATCTGCTATCTGAATGTACTGTACTCTTACTATTTTCCTATGCCAAGTTGCCCACCAAGATTTTAATGAAAGTTTTAAAACTTTAATTCTTTATGGTGAAGGCACTTCTCTGGAAATAGTTAAAGGGTTTTGGCATCATCAAAAAGGGGGAAATTGTAAGGAATATTTGTAATTAGATTTTGATGATGTTATACTAATTAGGACTTTAGAGTACCCCTCTTTAGACTGAATGTATTAGAATTTTCCTTGTAAAAGTTCTTTAGTATAATCGACTGGCACAAGGCCTCCAGAGCAGAAGGCCTCCAGAACAGAAGACCCCCTGACAAAGGACCTTTGATAAGGCTTTGGTTGAATAGAAGACCTTTGGCTCTCTGCTTCAGAACAGAAGACCTCAGGGTCTCTGTTAGCCTTTACTCTGACAGAAACCCTACTGGTTCTCTGTTGGATATTTCTTCAACAGAAGTGCTCAAGACCTTCTCTGATCAACTCTCTTCTAAAGACACCAGAAGGCCTGACACTTAGAAGAATTTCAACAAGCCGGTAAACCAACTGAAAGATTCCTTCAACGGCTAGGAGTCTTGAACGGAAAAGCTACAGTACGCGCATTAAATGCACATTTAATGCCTCCCGTACTCTGTAGAGTAATTGCAGATGATTGGCCGCAATGTCAGGATAACTTTATCCCAAAATAGTAACCCGCCAACTTTACCGGGTCCTACTGGTCAAGTCAACTGCTCGCTCATTTAATGCAGTTGTCCTCCTTCTCCTCCAACGGGAAGACAACCTCAGTATAAAAGATACACTACGATGAACAACCGGATAACTTTGCTACAAGTGTGCACATACAAAATATTCAAACGCTAAAAACGCAAAAAGCCTCCTTGAGATTAAATCTTCATTATCTTCTACAAGAGAAGGCAGACGTTAGAAAGATCCTTACTTCCAACTCAAGCAAAGTTCCAAGTGTTCTTCAACTCTTCAAGCTCTTCATATACAAATCTTTTGTAACGAAGCAAGTTGGAGGAACCCATGTTCTCAACAGAACCTCTTCTTTCACAAGAAGGACGTCCAAGTACCTGGAGCAGTGAAGTGGTGATACTTCCGGGAAAGCTCAGTGAAAGGATCAGTCTTAGGGAAGCCAGAAGTGCATCCAAGAAGACATCTACACTTGAAGAAGACGTGGAGAGCTTCTTAAGTGATAGGGCTAAGGCGTTGTAAACGGACGTTTTTACAAGCTTAGTGGAACAGTGGACTAGAGGAACAAGTTGTTCCTTGAACCACTATAAAAAGCCTTGGTGTCATGTACTTACTGCATTATTTATCGCTTTTATTTGAACTGCTTAACTCCAAAGAGATATAATATTATGACATTCGCTGCATTATTTGTCTTGTGAGTTAACAGAAGGCCTACTGCCTTTGCTTCTCTAAGGCTATACTAACAGAACTCCCTACCAGAACCCCATCCGCTGCCAGTCTGTTCTGCCAACAGAACAGGCTATTCTGTTAAATCTGGTACTTAGCTTGAAAAAGTTAAAAACCAATACAGTCTATTCACCCCCCCCCCCTCTAGATTGTATCCAGTACAACCGGGACCAACATTATCTTGCGTTTTACTACTTTGAAAAATATCCTAAATACCCGTGTTTGAATTTGTGATATTATTAAGGAAGTTATCGGCGCTTTTCGGTTATCCAGTTTCAAACGGTTAAGGAGTTTCCTTTCTGAAAGTAGTTTCCTTTCTCAAATAGTTTCCTTGTTCAGGTTGAGTATCGCTATTAGTTTCCTAAGTTTGTTGGATATCATTCAACCTAACTAAACATTCGTTGTTTTTCCTGCATTCTTCTGCCATGGATTTCTCTTGGAGTACGACGTCATAGCTGCCTGTGTTTCGTTTTTTGAAGAGTACGTTTACTTCAAATTTCATGCTTTCATAATAACTTATTATGGCCGTGATTCTGTTTTCGTTCGTCAATTCTTCTTCAATCGTTGTTCACTTGAATTCGCAATTGCTTGTAATTTGGAACGACAATATTTCAGTTGAATACATATACATATATGCATTTGCGTTCTTTTTTTTCCTTCCAGTTTTGTTTTTTCTTCAATTTCATATTATCGAACCTTTCATCATATGATCGCTTTCAAATTCATTATAATCAACAACTTATTTCGTATGTAGTTGTACTCTGTTTTATTTCATTAAATTTCATCGGCTAGTTTAGATATCAGTTTGTATCTACAATTTATTTTGTTTTTGTTAAATTCTCTATTCTTCTACCTAAATTATGCCCTTCGAACTGTCATTTAGTTTGTTCTACCTGTCATGTATATGCATTTTTTTATTCCTCCTTTTTATGTTCTGTAATTGTATATAATTGGTACACATCCTTATAAACTGTCATATTGTTAACACAACTGTCATAATTTTGTCGGAACTGTCATTTAGTTTGTCTTACCTGTCATGTATATGCATTTTTTGATTTCTCCTTTTTATGTTCTGTCATTGTATATAATTGGTACACATCCTTATAAACTGTCATATTGTTAACAAAACTGTCATAATTTTGTCCAAACTGTCTTTTTCCTAGATTTTGTCATACTGAAATATTTCTTTTGCTGTATTTTTTTAGGAACCTTTTTACCACAATGGATCCTCTTTTACTTGTTATGGTCAAGGTTGACGGTTTTTGGGATTCTAACAACGTGTTCAACAATGTCCACACATGTGGCCTTCATGTTAACTATAATGTTCAATATGCTTCTTTTATTAACTCTTTGAGTGACATCCTTTCTCAGTACAAAGCTAATCATAATTTCAGGCTTTCTTATATGCGTGATGGATTTCCTCCTCCTGTTACTATAAATGATCAATCTACCTTAACATTTTATCTTTATATCAAGTCTCTTCAACCAGATTTTTCATTGTATCCACTTTGTGTTGAGTTTTATCCTGTTTCATCTTCTCCTGCATTTTCTATTGATGTTGGACCATCTGCTTCTCCTTGGTCTGAAAATGTTGTCATTTCTTCACAGCAACATACCCCTTATGATGAGAATGTTGTTGTTTCTTCTTCCCATGCTTCACAACAACATACCACTTATGAGAATGTTGTTGTTTCTTCTGCCCAACAACATTCCTCCTCACCTGCACTTTCTTTTGATGATGGTCAATATGAAAATGTTATGCTATTTGGGGTAAGTTGTGGCCAATCCGAAGATATTGTTTCTTGTAGTAACACTGTGTCTGCAACTGTAGAAAATGAATAATCTGAAGACAGTGATGACATGTCAGATGATATGTCAGATGACCTTTTAACTAAATCATCTGACTCATTCTCATTTCTCCAAAATTTTGAAATCATCACACAGTCACATCCTACTTGTCTTCTTCTCCATGCTATTTACAAAAATAAAAAAGAACTTATCCACCATCTGAAGATGTATGCTATCACAAACCACTTCCAATACAGAACTAAGACATCGAAGAAAATATGTTTGCATGTTATTTGCTTAGATCCAAAATGTTGTTGGAGTGTTCGAGCCGTAAAACTACATGGCGTAACAATGTTTCAAATCAGAAGGTAACTTCAATTTTCCTTCTTTAATTCACTTCATTGTAAATTCTGGTTTATAAGAATGTCATGTTGTGGTGACATTCTTATACAGGACTGTCAACTTCATATTATGTATTTGTATAATAATGTCATTTTTTCTTTTCAAATTCCGGCCAGTTCACACATGCTCTATTGATTACAGACAAGGCAAACATAGACAGGCATCTGCTAGTGTGATAGCAAATATTATTGCACACAAATACCTTGATGCTTCCAATAAACCATACCCCCCAAAGCAAATTCGTGAGGACATGAGTATGCAGTATGGAATTTCCATGTCATACAACAAAGCTTGGAAAGCACAGAAGAAAGCAATGCAGCTGCAATTTGGTTCTGATCTTGAATCCTATCAGTTTTTGCCTTCAATGGCTTATGTGCTTGAGAAAACAAATCCTGGCTCTATGTTTAATCTAGTCACAGGGCAGGATGATGCATTTTCTACCTTTTTTTATGTCATTCAAACCATGGATAGAAGCTTGGCCCTACTGCAGACCTGTTCTTATATTGGATGGTTCTTTCATGAAGGCTTACTATAAAGGCACTCTCCTTACAGCTTGTTGCCAAGATGCCAATGATCACATAGTTCCTATTGCATTTGGTATTTGTGGTTGTGAAACTAAAGCTTCTTGGAAATGGTTCTTATCCAAAGTTTGTCAATCAATAAAGTACAGACATGACCTGTACGTAGTATCTGATAGGCATAAAGGGCTTATCAAGGCCGCTTCTGAACTCTTGCCACATGCTAGCCACGGTTTTTGTGTTGCTCATCTTGGTCGTAACACAACATCAAAATTCAGAGGATCTGCAGCTGGTTTGGGATGGAAGTTCAAAGCTGCCTATATGGCAGCAACTATGAAAAAATATGATGACTACTTATCCATGTTGGATTCTGAAGACCCCAGGATAAGGACTTGGCTAGACAAATTAGGTGCTAACACATGGTCAAAAGTAATGTCTGTCCCAAAGAGATATAATATTATGACATCAAATTGTGCTGAGTCTATGAACAAAGTCAATGTCTGTGCAAGAGAGTATTCTGTGTCTAAACTTGTTGATTTCTTGCGTGAAAGGATGCAGCAATGGTTCACAGAGAGGAAAGATAAAGCTGAGAAAACAAGTACTATACTCACAAAGAAATGTGAGAAACGTCTGGTAGCTTTGCAAGCTGAATCCACACCTATGAAGGTATGTCAAAGCTTATTTTTTGACTTTGAATACCATTAGCCGGTTTTCATTTTTTCATCTCCTTTTATAATTCCCCTTTGTTTGTTAATATGTCATTTTGTCTTTATAAATTTGTCATTTTGTGTACTTCATATTCAAATAGTCTTACTATCGTTTTTATTTATCATTTCTCTTCTACTTAATATTCATATATAAGTTGACATTTTCTATACTTCATAGCCACATATTACTGCTATATTCTTTTGCTAATTCTCTTTTTTATCTACTTTCATATTCTTATTTTTTATTTATTTCACAGGTTAAACCATCATGTGAATATGAATTTGAAGTTGTTGACAGTAGATGCAAGTCCTTTGTGGTAAACCTCAACTCTAGAAGTTGTACATGCGGCCACTTTCAATTAGATCAATTTGTGTGTGTTCATGTTGTGGCTGCAATCGGTATACGCCCACACCTTTCATGTTATACGTACATATCTCCATATTACACGAGAGATGCTTGGCTTGCTACATGGTCTGGTATCATGCATCCTATTGCTGATCCTGACAGTTGGTCAATTCCTGCTACTATTCAAAACCAGAGATGCAAGCCACCAAGTTGTTTGAAGCGTCCTCCTGGTCACCCTAAGAAATGCAGGATTCCATCCATTGGAGAATATAGAGGTTCAAAACGTCAAAAATGTTCTAGATGCCATGTGCTTGGGCATAATAAGAAAACTTGTAGAAATCCAATTCCAATTAATACCCAGTGATGTAGATTTGCCCACTCATTTTATTTTGTCTTCTGTTTTTTGTACTTTTAACAATTCTACTATGTGGTTTGGACTTGGTTATCATTTCCTTGAACGTTTAAGGTTTTGTGCTTTAGCCATTCTTGGCATTTAAGTGTTTATGACTTGTGCTTTATCCAAATGTTTTATCCCAAATGTCATCTCAATAATGTAATGTCATTTTGTTTATGTATAAATGACACATGTCAGATTTGATGTCATTTTGTATTCCAAAAAATGTCATGTTACTTGTCACTTTGTTGTCATTTATTTACTGCATGTAAATGACATTCAATCCTAGTATCCATCTACATGTTACTATAAAAAATGCTCTAGATAAACTGGCCAAGGGGATGTACGTCCCTTGAACAGACAGATTTCAAAGTTGATGTCATTTTATTTTCTAAACATTGTCATCCAAATGTCATTTATCACAGATTTTCTTCGGTAACAATCCGTGCTTACATAAATATAAGTACCCTGTAGAATGCATTAACACAAAGTCATCTTCAATGTAAAAATCAAACAGATTTTTTGAACGTAATTCAATAAAATGCATTGTCACAATGCATTGTCATAAAACATATTTCATACATTTTGAATATAGAGGTTCAAAATGTCAAAAATGTTCTAGATGCCATGTGCTTGGGCATAATAAGAAAACTTGTAGAAATCCAATTCCAATTAATACCCAGTGATGTAGATTTGCCCACTCATTTTATTTTGTCTTCTGTTTTTTTTAACTTTTAACAATTCTACTATGTGGTTTGGACTTGGTTATCATTTCATTGAACGTTTAAGGTTTTGTGCTTTAGTCATTCTTGGCATTTAAGTATTTATGACTTGTGCTTTATCCAAATGTTTTGTCCCAAATGTCATCTCAATAATGTAATGTCATTTTGTTTATGTATAAATGACATATGTCAGATTTGATGGCATTTTGTATTCCAAAAAATGTCATGTTAATTGTCACTTTGTTGTCATTTATTTACTGCATGTAAATGACATTCAATCCTAGTACCCATCTACATGTTACTATAAAAAATGCTCTAGATAAACTGGCCAAGGGGACGTACGTCCCTTGAACAGAGATTTCAAAGTTGATGTCATTTTGTTTTCTAAACACTGTCATCCGAATGTCATTTATCACGGATTTTCTTCAGTAACAATCCGTGCTTACATAAATATAAGTACCCTGTAGAATGCATTAACATAAAGTTATCTTCAATGTAACAATCAAACAGATATTTTGAACGTAATTCAATAAAATGCATTGTCACAATGCATTGTCATAAAGCCTTTAAAGCATATTTCATACATTCAAAACACAATGAAAGTTGCGTTAACCAAGTTTTTCAAAACGAATGTACTAGATGTCTAGATGTCCTGACATGATATTAAAAGTACTAGTAAATATAAGAGTCTTCCAAAACAAACATAATTGTTTCATTCTACAATCCCATTTCTTCATAGCTTCATTTCATTCTCTCTCACCCTGCCTCCTCTCGCTATATAGGACCAGTTCAGTTGCCATTTTTTCCCTAAACAAGGGTATTGCTTCAGGATATATGTCATCCATGTCCATCCCCACCATTAGAAATTCACCCATCTTGAGCATGAACATTCCACAGTTTCCCCTGATGCATGACACCAAAAATTAAAAGAAATTTTTAAAATAAAAAAGTACACTATTATACAATCTGATTAAGAAAATTTATATCCTCTTACCCATCATCTTGCTGTGGACATCCTTCTATAGGCTCAACTTCCAAAAACCTTTCACCCATAGGATCCTCACACATCTGTTCGTACACTTTGTGATAGTCCATTATTCTGGGCAGGAGGACTGTTATGCATGCAACATAGGACCTGATATCCCTTAGTGAATCACCTCTTCTAACATTGGAGTTGTACACTCTTACCTTTCTTTGCTTGATATCTAGTACTACCAAAACCCAATGGTTGCCAGTATTCAGAGGGAAGTACACGAAGTCTGCTTTTCTCCAGTGTAGGCTATAGTTGTTCGCACCTATTATGTCACGAACAATGTTTTCTTCTTGTGCTGACTTGTGGTATGTATAGTGCCCCTTTGATATAGTGTCAAGCTTCCGCTTCAGTATTTGCAAGAAAAAAGGCCCAGTTGTGGTGTAGTTTTGTGGCAGTTTGTAATGCACCCGTTTCATGCCCAAATAGTACATTACTACTTCAACATGCTGTAAAAAGTAAAACACACATTTATCACTTACAAACTAATTCAACTGACTTTTAATGGCATTCTATACAAACAAACATACATATAAATGTACACTTGGGAGTTAGACTAACAAAAATATAACACTTTTGAATTTACCTTGTCAGTGATCCATTCGTGATTCGTAAACATGTCATATAACCATGTTTTTTATTCAACTTTCATAGTGTCTAGCAAGAATGGTTTGTGAACCATTTTTTCTTCATCCACTTTGTACCTTCTGCCATTTTTGTTTTTTTGAAAATTCTTCAACAATCCAACTTTGAGGTATGCTCTCACCCTCTGTATTTAATGATCTAGTGGGCTCTCTGTTGGATCTTCTGTGAAAGGTCCAACTATTTCCTTCAGTGGAGGCAAAAAATCATTGTCAGCTCTTTTCTTACCCTTTTCTCTCTTCCTCCTCTTTGGCGAATGCTCAGATGGAGTGTACTTCACTGGTGACCTAGCAAAACGCTTTTGTTTGGGAAGATCCTCTTGTTCCTGTGGCATTTCCATAATATATATTATTTATTATACTTTTCTATATTTATTGAAAATGTATTAATACACTCAATGTCATACTAAAAAATAATCATAAAAATATAAGCATTATAATCGATTTGTAAAATATTTTGTCATTCAAGTCAAGACAATATTACATAAAATGTTTTGAGATTCATAAAAATCATATATACAATGGTGATATGTACTACAGAAGTCACTAATTTGTCAGTTTCATAACTTCACATAAACTGTATGTCACATAACTTTACTAATTTGTCACTAATACTTCGAATGTCACTTTTATGTCAGTTTCATACCTTCCAAATGCTACTTGAATGTCATTTTATTTTTTTTAGTTACCTGATTAGGCTTCACTATGATTGCTGTACATGGATTGGAAGAATAGCTCTCAAAAGCCTTTTTGGCCACTTCATCTGCAGTTTTGCAAATCTCTTGGACAAATTGACTATTGTCTTGTGACCCCATCCCCCAACAAGATTCAGCAGTTTTGTCCATCTCTTGAGACTGACTCAATATGTTAAACGTAGGCATGTCACAAACTACATCTTCATTGTGCTCGGTCTCTACAACATCTTTATCTAGAACATCATCCTCATTTTTCGCACCACCATCCCCAATCTGTAAAATATCATCCTCAGTCTGTGCACCAATGTACTCAGTCTCCTCTTGCACATGAATGTCAGCAGTATCATCATCCTTTAGCCTAGGTTCGTCGTCATTCTCGGAATCTTGCCCAGTCATGTCATCATCTTCTTTTTCATTAACATTTTCTTCTTCTTCTGGACTTTCATTCTTTTCAACTTTCTCTGTTCTTTCTCTTGTGTCCTCATCTTCACCTTTATCACTGCCTTGTGACATCTGTTTGACAATAAGTAGAACTTCTTTTAAAAGATCTTCCTGCTTTTTCTGAGTTTGCTTAATGTTTTTCATTTCTGCCACTAGTCTGGCAGTCTCCTTAGCTTGTTTCCTCATTCTTTTTTGCATACTGATACTATGTTTGCTCATGAACACAATATATTTCTCTACTTTTCTTCCACTACCACTTGAATAATCTTCTTCATCCTCACTCTCAGTGCCTTCATCACTCTTTGTTTCCTCATCACTTTCGAATTCCATCATAATCTTCTTTCTTCTTTTAGAAGTTCCCTCACCAGATTTACCTTTGCCCTTCACTACTTTTCCTGTTTTCCTTTTCATGCTTCTGGTCTGTATTGCCTTTTTTTGCCTTTTTCTGCAATAGCTTTCATCTTTTCAGCATCTAGTCTCCCCACATTTGGAATAACAATGTCCATTCCATGGCCACCTCTGCATTGTTTCCTCCAATCATGGCAATTTCTTCTTCTGTTGGTACGATCTGTGTCCACTCAAACTAAACAAGTACAATTTGTTAGTAAAAAAATTGTAACCTTATAATCTAGATATATTTAGACTATTAAAACTAATACCTTGTCATTCTTGAATATTATTTGGGAAAGCACCTCCAGTGTAGGTTTTTTCTTGAATTCCCACTTCAGTGTCCTTGGTAAGATGTTTTCTCTGCTCTTTATTAGCTTGCACAAACCAGCTTTTGCAAGTCCTGGGAATGTCTCAAATGCCCACCATTGTAAAGCCACCATGTACCCAGGGAATGTAACTCTGTCCCCTTTACCTTTATCTAATGCCTCACAACTTTGTTTTATTTTGTCAACCAACTCGTTCCAAACATCATCACCCCATGGGTAAGCATTGAATGCATCCAAATCGTTTACCAGGTTTACGTAGTATGCTTTCATAGGCCTGGCAGTTTGATTCCCAAACAAACAATGGGACAATATGTGTAGTAGAGCCAGCTCCACTCCATCTTTTGCCATTCTTCCTTCATCAGTGCTCTCATAACTCTTCAATGCATTTTGGATATCTGCACGGGACACTGTAGCCTTGTTCCCAAAATATCTTCTGCATATATCTCCCTCAGGCTCCTCTGAAATATTTGGCTTCAGACTCCCAAATTTTAAACCACACATTGTTGCCATATCAGCCTTTTGAAAACTGATTACACTGTTTTGAATATGAAATCTGATGACACTTTCATCTGCATTTCCATTAACTTCAGTGACATAGTTTTCAACAAATCCTAACAGTAGTTGTCCACTATTCCAAGTCATATCTTCAATTTTTAACATCCAACCAAATATGGTGTTACTGAAATCAGTCAGTTCCTAAGTGTTAAGACATGTCCTTATTCTTTTAAGAACTTCTGCAACATTGCAGTAAGAATTGACACGCAAGTTTTCTAAGTCCACTAACACTGACTTCTTAAAAGCTCTTGTTATTGTCTGTCAAGTTCACACAAATATAGGCATTATAATCAATTTGTAAAATATTTTGTCATTCAAGTCAAGACATTCATAAATAACATGGTAATATTAACTGCTTAAGTCATTAGTTTGCCACTTTCATACTTTCCCATAAATTGTGATAAATCTTGCAATTTCACTTTTCATTCAAAATGCCACCATATTCTTCTCTATTTTGCATTATGTTGTTTTATAACAACATGACACGCTAAAAACTCACTAAACTGTCATTTATGCGTCAGACTTTCAATTTCCAATTCAATGTAGTGTTAATTTCCGTTCAATCTAAGACATATTCATAAAATGTCACTATTTCATGCAAACTGTCATCACAGTAATGATACACTTACAACCCCACAATATAACCACATATTAGTGGAATGTCACTTTTCATACAAAATGACACCATATACTTCTTTATTTTGCAGTATTCTGTTGTATAACAACATGACAAACTAAAAATGATCTGCTAAATTCTCACTAAACTGTCATTTATGCGTCAGACTTTCAATTTCCAATTCAATGTAGTGTTAATTTCTGTTCAATCTAAGACATATTCATAAAATGTCACTATTTCATGCAAATTGTCATCACAGTAATGATACATACTTACAACCCCACTATATAACCACATATTAGTGGAATGTCACTTTTCATACAAAATGCCACCATATACTTCTTTATTTTGCACTATTCTGTTGTATAACAACATGACAAACTAAAAATGATCTGCTAAATTCTCACTAAACTGTCATTTATGCGTCAGATTCTGAAGTTCTAATTCAAACTAACGCATATTCATAAAGTATCACTAATTCACGCAAAATGTAACCATAGTCTTCATACACACTTAAAATGCCACCATATAACAACATGATGCAATCAAATGTTATTAAAAATGTCATTTACTTTACTGTTAATGACATACAGTTCATGATTTGATATTTTTCGCGGCAAATGTAAAACCTATTTACATTCAAACGATTTAAACGTTCTAAACTCCTTTAACTGTCAAACTATTGTCAATTTCAGACATTCCTCTACGAAATTACTACTTACTATTTCGGAATTGATTCTGACGGAAACTTTGTTTGACAAATCCATAGCTCTGTCCATCAACTCTACTCAACGATTTGACTCTCCTCAAATTTGAGCGTCGTCTAAGACGAAGGTTTACTACCTCTGTGCTTTGAAGTTTTGAATCGATGTGCACTTTTGATCGTCGTCGAATGACTGGTCTCTTCAATCGCAGCTCTCAACCGTTCTTCGGATACATGTTCATTTAATTTGGAATCTTTTTTTCGGCGTCATGATGATAATGAATGCTTGGAAACCGGGAATAGCCGTAAGGAGAAGAATTAACCGTCAATGAGGGAAGAGTACGTGTGTATCAGTTTAATGAGGTCATTTTTGGCAATTCAGCGCATATTTGGTCCTATGCGAGTCGGGGGAAAAGTGGATGTCCTATTTTTGAAATTTTGATAAGTAATAGTCCTATTTTGTAAAATTTCTCTAATAATAATAATAATAATGTATATGATAGGTTGGTAGTTGATGAACATGGCATGTGTATTGATTCATGATTTGATTCCCATTTATGTTGATGTTTATTTTTATTTTTTTTATTTATTTTAATTTTTACATATAAATATATATAATTATATATGTAAAAATATGTACATAATGTATATACATTATTTGGTAGGTGATCCTACCATATGTCATTGTTTTATGATCTCATATTTTCATTTATTAATTTGATGCTATTATTAGTAATTTTTAATATTCTTACTATTTTTATTTATTTATTTATTTATTTATTTCGTCATCTATATTTTATCTGATTTATTTCTATTTTATTTTTTATTTTATTTTTTCGATGCCACATAAGTGTTTAATTTTATTGCATGTAGTGTGCATATATTTTTATACACCAAGTATAATACAAAATATTTTGATATTACTTTCATTTTATTTATCAGATATAACTTATCTGATTTATTTATTTATTTATTTTTATTTCAAATTTTCAAGGTATCACATTCTACCCTCCTTAAAGAATGCTTCGTCCTCGAAGCATAAACTAAGACGAGAATTAAGTATGAAGATGAAGTATTACAAGTTTATAAGATGTTACAGTTGTCACCTAGGAAAACACAGTAGCCGGATGTGGATCGTCTTGTGTCGGGGCAGCCACCCCAATCGGCGTTGATAGAGTATATCTAGAGAGAAGTGAGAGCTAGAGAGAGAAGTGCAATAATATGCTTCAATAGAATGATTTTGTAACCCCTATAACTACTCCCAAAGGGAGTATTTATAGAGAAAATTAGGGCTGGGCTCCCAAGTCTTGGGCTTGGGAGGCCCATCTACAACTGGACCGCTACTGGGCCGAATACAAAGCCACTAATGGGCTGTACAAATGAGTAAGTATAAAATCTGATTCTGGGAGGTCTTCTTGGCCGACGAGGGCGTGGCCGACGAGGGCACGGCCGACGAGGGCATGGCCGACGAGGGCACCCGGGTTCCTTGGACTCAGGACCATAATCCGAGTTGGCTCCTTTTCGGCCGACGGGGGCATCTTGGCCGACGAGGGCGCCACTCTGTTGTCTTGTGCTTTCTGTTCTTCCGAGTATGTGGGTCCGGGGGCTCGGACCCATATACTCCATCAGGCGTCGGTGTAGGCCATGAGAGAATGAGACGTGGAGCGATGGAGATGTAATCCGAGGTGGGCAGTACCACGTATGTAACGAATAATTCGTTTGAGGGCGTGAAGATGAGGCTCCCGTGGGTCATGCATGAATAAACAAATTTGTTGGACAACATATGAGATATCGGGCCGGGTAAAGGTAAGATATTGTAAAGCACCTGGCAAGGCTCCGGTAGAGGGTAGGGTCCTGCACTTCGGGGCCGGTTGTAGCGCTAAGTTTTGCATTGGAGTCGAATGGAGTAGCCACTGGATTGCAGAGGTCCATTCCCGCACGGCGAATAATATCAAGAGCATATTTCTCTTGAGATAAAAAGAGGCCGTCGGGTAGTGTGGTGACGGAGATGCCCGAGAAAAAAGAGAGATGGCCGAGGTCAGTCATGGCAAATTCACGATGGAGTTGAGATAAAATATCCCGTCGGAGAGTATCTGAGGAAGCCGTGAGAATAATGTCGTCCACATAAAGCAAAATAAATGTGGTGCCTTGATTGCCCCGGAGGATGAATAAGGAGTGATCACATTTGCTATGGACAAAACCGAGAGTGGCTACAAACATGGCAAAACGTTGGTACCAGCCCCGGGGGGGCTTGCTTTAAGCCATAGAGAGATTTAAGTAGACGGCAAACATGGTGCGGTCGAGAGGAGTCTCGGTAGCCGAGCAGTTGGTGCATGTAGACGGTCTCCTCGAGATGGCCATGGAGGAATGCATTCTTGACATCTAATTGGTGCAAAGGTCAAGAATTGGAGAGAGCAATGCTAAGCACCATGCGTATGGTAGCGGGTTTGACCACCGGGCTAAAAGTCTCATCACAGTCAATCCCGATTTGTTGGGAGTTGCATTGACCACTAACCGGGCTTTGTGACGTTCAAGGGAGCCATCCGACCTGTATTTATGCTTAAATAACCACATACAACGAATAATGTTAGTTTCAGGAGGCCGAGGAACCAACTCCCACGTCCCATTTTTAATAAGTGCACTAAATTCATCATCCATGGCGGCTTTCCATTGGGGGTCACGGAGGGCGTTGATGGGATTTTTTGGTATGGGGGACGGTTGTATAGTGGCCGAGAGGTTAAGTATAGTTCTTGGTTTGAATATGCCTGATTTGGCCCGAGTGACCATGGGGTGAGGGGCTGGTTGGGCAGTGGGGTTGGTAAAGGGGTTCTCGACTGGGGAGTTTGATATGGAGGATTCAGTATTGGGGGTGATGGAATTTTGGGTTGCCGAAGGGGTGTCGGCTGGGGAGTGAAAAGGGTTATGCGGTGGGGTGGAAATTGTGGGACTGGAGTGGTTATTTGCAGGGGCTGAATTTGGAGGTGTAAAGTTGGTGTCCGTAGGAGGAGTTTGGGACGTGTGCATGGGCCATGCATGGGGATCCGGGGGTATGGTGAGAAGGGGGTGTACAGGATCATGGGATGGTGAGACCGAATGGGGTGGAGAGTGGTGAGGGTGACATGGGAAGACTGCCTCGTTGAAAGTGACGTGGCGGGATACTATGATTTTGTGGGAAGAAAAATTCATACAAATATATCCTTTGTGGTTATCCGGATACCCTAAAAATATGCACGGTTCGGACCGGGGTTGAAGTTTGTGGATGGTGGAAGAGGGGATGTGTGGGAAACATAGGCAACCAAAGACACGAAGATGGGAGTATGTGGGTATTTTGTTGTATAAAAGATAGGTGGGGGTGTGAAAGTTTAGTGTTTGAGAAGGGATAATATTGTGGAGGTAAGTGGCCATTTTGACAGCATAGGACCATAATTTTAGGGGTAGAGATGCATGAATTAACAGTGTACGTACGACATTATTTAGAGTGTGTATGGTGCGTTCGGCCTTGCCATTTTGAGGAGAGGTGTAGGGACAAGAGTAACGAAAATGGATACCGTTGGCGGCACCAAAATTGGTAAAGTGAAGGTTACGAAATTCAGTCCCATTGTCACATTGTAGAATTTTTATACCTTGTTCAAATTGTGTGCGAACAAAATTATAAAATGTGACAAAAGTGAAGAAAGTTTGGGATTTATGGTGAAGGGGGTACACCCATAAGAATTTCGTGTAGTCATCTAAAAATAAAACATAGTATCGATGTCCGGTATTACTTAACACAGGAGAAGTCCATAAATCACTATGTATTATTTCAAATGCCTTAGAAGTACAGGACAAAGAACTAGAAAATGGTAGTTTAACATGCTTTCCCATTTGACACGAGGTGCAAGTGGAAGCAAGAATTTTATTACACGAAATAACATTATTGGAGCGAAGAATATTAAAAACGGGATCCCCCGGATGGCCTAGCCGACTATGCCAAAGTTCAGCGGGAAGTGTAATGAAGGCGGATGCATGGAGCGTGCGTGGGCTGAGACTAGGTTGCACCGGGTAGAGGTGGCCGGAACTATTGCACCGCAGAATTTTTGTCCCTGTGTGGAGATCCTTCACAGAAAAACCAAGGGGGTCAAATTCAACGGAGACATTATTATCGGTAGTAAATTGACGGACAGAAATAAGATTTTTGATTAAATGGGGGGCATGGAGTACATTTTGTAGGTGGAGAGGGAAGGGGGAGGTGGGTAGGGTGGTGTGACCGTGACCCACAATAGGAACGGACATGCCATTGCCAAGCAAGATACGATTATTAGTGCGCAAATTAAAATAGGGTGTGAGAGTACCTGAGGAGGAGGTCATGTGTGAAGTTGCCCCGGTGTCCATGTACCAATTGGTGTCCGGCGGAGATAGTGTCATGGTGTGCATGGCCGCTTGAATGTCGGTGGGAGGTGGTGTAGTAGTGGAGTAATGAGCTTGTGGGCGCGGTCCAAGAATGACGGGGGAAGAGTGAGGAGGTGGTGGCTGATGGGGGTGCGTGGTGGGGTAAGGGTAGGGGGGTGAGGCCCATGGGGTGGGGGGCCAGTATGCCCATGGGTTAGGTAGGTATGGCCATGGGCCGGTTGGTGGGTTTGTCGGGGAGCAATAGTAGGCTACGGTTAATTAGCCCAATCCAAAAACTTAAAAAAATTCAAAAAAAAAAAATTGACCCAGCCCGGGCCCAAACCGACCGGGCCGGTTCACCTTTTGAAGGGCCCGAGCCCGAACCGAGATCCCACCGGGCCGGGTGGCCCGAACCGGCCAACCAACCGGTTCACCGGGTGGCTCTTATTTCGGGTTTTTTTCAGAGAAACTCTCTGGTTTCTCCTGTTCCATATTATTATTAAGGCCATCAGAGCTTCTAGATGTATCTTGAGGAGTTTGGAGTGATTGTTGACCATCCACATTCGGCACAACAGCTTGGTTGCTGTTTGATTCTATATGTTCAGATGAAGGGCTGCTCTCGGACATGTTGTGCGAGGATGTGGGAGGATCTGGCCCTTTTCGCTCAATAGACCGGGCAGGCTGCCCAAAAATCCGGTCCTTGTCTGTTGGTTGGACCTGATTTCCAATTTGAGTGTTGCGCTCCTTCATAAAGTTGAGCCGGTTTGTCAGCTTTGTCAATGCTGAAGTGGCAGTCACCCCCTGCTGATCATTGGGCTTGGGCGCACAAGTGTTTGGGGATCACATGCAAGCTCTACATCAACGTATATTTGAGATTAATAATGGAAGACTGATTTTTTTTTAAATATATGGAAGACTGTTAAGAGTAGGAATTATTCATGTTTATTTTTCTTAGATGAAATTGCTCTAAATATGACTAAAAACATTTGTATATTCCAAAATAGGACTATCATGTTTTTCTAATGATATACGGAGTATTAGCATCTCAAAAACGTGGAGGTGCTAATTGACGTTGATGAATACTTGAGGTACTATTTAACATTGTTTTCTGTATTTAAATACATCACAACACTAGTTTTGGATTGAGAAAACGCAACATATATATTTATACAGTATAGCAAAATAGGGAAATTTTCAGCCATTGCTAAACTTTTGCCTTTGAAATATAATCCCATATTCCCATATAATATGAATTGCATAATATGCTAGTGATATATACGCTCTTCATATCATCATCATTCCATAAAGGAGGGATTGAGACGATCCACAGGTATTGGAAAATATTTGTAAAAACATCCAAAGCATAGAAACATTTTAGGCCTGAAAGCGTTATAACTCTAACCCTCTGATTTTACATACATGAATTAGTAAGAAATATATATTTAACCCCACCATTGGTGAACGGCAACACCTTCATCCCTGAGTAAACCATACAAAGCTAAACATTCCCAATATGCCCTCCTGTTTTTCTCGCCGCCGCCGCTGCCTCCTTTCTTTATCCCTTGATGCTTACACTCCAAGAAAAGCTCATCTACCAGCCTAATTGATCTGCTCTTCACCATCTCCTCCGCCACCTCGACCTCCGTCTTCATCACCACGTAATCCCTCTCCTCCACGTTCTTCCTCAGCCAATCCGACATCCCTCTGGTGGCTTCCAGCCCGGATGACGACTCTGCCCTCGCCACCGCCTCTATCTTGAACAGCTCGAACTTTGCGTTCCCAGAGGGGTAGTTCTTCGCGAACCAATCAGCTCCGGTGTTGCTCTTCTCTCCTCCCGACAAGCTCACGTCGATGAACACTCTTCTCGGGTAGTTCTCCAATGACACCCCCATGAGGTCCGGCAGGTACCTCGTTTTCTTTCTGTAGGCGTTTGACTTTCCAGATGCTGCCCTCGGCGGTTCAAGCAGTACGTCTTCGAGGTTCTTGAGGGCCGCCGATCTGGCCTTTGATTCCATCTCCGGTAACAGCTGATCTGGGTTCTTTTTCTGTTCCCAGAAACCCCCGCTGATCCGGCTTCTGATCCCGTCCTCAGTAACTCCCGATTTGGATTCTGATTCGGTATCCAGTAACTGTCGCCGTCCCTTGCCACGGCTTCTGCTGACGGCATTGGCGGTGTCTTCTGTTTTCTTCACCGCCAGAAAGACCCTAGACTTGAATTTCCTGAGGTAGACGGATTTGGTGTTTGGCAAACCAAAGACAGCGGGGTTGTCATTGCCGGTGAACTGGAGCACGATAATCCCGCCTACCCTAACAGCCTTCTTCACTAAATCTGAGGTTTCTCCGGTTAAACTGCCATGATTAGCAAATGCAACATCATATGTTTCCTCGTCTGGGGTTTTTAAGGTTTGGTCTGAAACAGAGACTAGACCCATTTCCTTGTAAATGGCTTCCTGATTGCTGCCATTTCTACCAGCAAGGAAGAGAACACGGTCACCTTGTTTGAGCAGGCCTTCTTTGGCCAGATCATGAAAGATCGGATTTTTAGAAGAAATGTTGCTCAGATTAGTATTATTGATATTAAATGAGGATGATGATATCCCTATCACATTCAGACAGGGGAAAGAAACAATAAGAAGAGTCAAAACAATGGCGTGAGCCAGCACTTTCAGAAGAAAAGGGTGCCGGAAAGGTAGGACCAAGAATTGAGCAAAGCAAAGGCCGTCGTGGTCAATGTGGAGGAGGCCCTTCGTTTTGTTTTGGTGTTTAGTTTGAAAATCAAAGAGCAGACCCGTTTCTTTATAACCCCCCATTTATGTTCTCTAGACTTGACAAAGAAATACAAAGGTTATTACTTGAACAAATATTACAGAGACTTTTTGAAATTTAAAGAAGATGAGATTGAAAGGGAAAGAGATGGAAATGGAGGAGATAGAATTAGCGGGTGCAAAAGCGGGAAGCAGTGTGATTACCACCGACTAGGGAAACAGGATTGTTTTTCTGCAACCTCAAACATAGCAAAAACAGATCTCTTAACCTCTGCACCTCCATTCCCTAAGACTGTACTCAGCCTCCCTTTTCAAGGTTTCTAGATTGAGAAGTGTTTGGTTGGGTTTTCTTAGCGCATAGGGATAAACTCCATTGATGTTGCCAGCATCGAATGGAGAAGGGAGGGAGGAGAAGGATGAGGCAGGCACTACTCTATGAAGCGATGGAAATGTTTTGTTTTGATGGGATTTGTGTTGTGTTTTTGAGAAAGAAAATTAAACATACGTATAAGAAAGAGACATGAATTGGCTGTTGGCCAAGCATGAATCTCTCTTCTACATAAAGAAACCTGTGGCTGACATTGTGATGGAAATTTCCCAGCAAGTACTTGTCAAACATATTGAGCTGAAAAAGTTTCCTTTTTAAAAATATATCGAGAAGGGTGCACAGAAATCTATAAATTCCATAATGAAACATTAACGCCACCATTTTAGGAAACTTCATAGATAATCACATCATAGTCATGATGGGGGAGGGGGAGATTCACGTTTTTGGGTGGCTAGAACTTTGTTTTTTTTTGCATGACTTTATAATGTTAGCTAAATTTTGTCAGAGTAAACATTATTTTTTTAATAATAATGATGAATTCATGACTAAAGTAAATGTATCGTAAAATAAGACGTTCTAATGCATGGTTTTTAATACGGAGTACATGGTAGCCATGATAACACTTATACAGTGAGTAGATCTTCACTTTTACACTACTGTGGCAGTGGTCCTGATAATATAGCCGTTTTTTTGTTCAACAATTCTACATTAATAATATTTTAGGAATTTGTAATTGATGTAATGTTGGTGATACTGGTTCATCTGAAATATATAGCGATCAATTCTGGCATTTTAGCACAACTTATTTATTTGCCTCAATTACATTGTGGTAAGCTCCATTCTGCACAATTTAAATTATGGTTTTACCACACCAGATGAGACTGTATGTTCTAACAATTGAATTTGTTAGAAAACAAACAGATGGCCTATTTTTTGAACACGTGGCCTATTAAATTCTGGGTTGTTATAAACAAAATTACAAAACATGGTGTTCATACCAATCCTTAAAAAATCCATTCTTATATGTTCCATAAAATGTTAAGACTTGTTCATTTGAACTGAAAATTGTGGTGATCTGCTTAAGTATGGTTCTCTGTTTATGATTGGTATAATCAGTGTAAGAATTAAGAACTAAGAATAAGTCTAAGAGAACATGTCCTTATATTTGAAGTTCTAGATTCTCCATGTCATAACTAACCATTGCAGGATTACAGAATCCAAGTCATCTAATGAATTCAAAAATCAGACATCGCCCTAGCTAAAAACAATGTTAGTTCTCATGGTACGATCCTTGCATATCCTCACTTATTCTACCCTGTATGTAAAGAACTACATGAATAGTCAAATTACCTCATCATATCACACTCTTACTGGTTTCTGTAAGACAGCAGATAAGTACACCTCAGGCTTCTCTGACCCGTTGTTCTTCTCTCCTACAACCCATTTCAACTTCTTGTATCCAAATCTCTCAATCAAATGGGTCAACGCCTTTCGCTTCTCATCACCATAGCAATACAGATTATCCAACCAAAACAAGCCACCTGCCCGTAGAACCCGATCTATGTCAAACATCAAGAAGTCCAATTTCTCTGTGGGTTGGACCCCGATATCAAGCCCGTTCCCTACGTGAACCAAATCAAACACATTGTCATAAAATGGGAACCGGTGATCCAAACTCAAAAAGAGTGGGAAAAGTCCTCTTGAAGCTATGAACTCATTGAAAGGTGCACCAATGTTTAATGTGGAAGTCACCACAGTGACGTTCCTTTCAGCCATTCTAGCAGCAAAAGTTCCAGACCCGCCACCACCTACATCAAACCCGACACGGATTCTTCCACCATTTCCACCCATTGAAAGCACATCATCAAGCAGAAAGTCATTCTTACCCCTAGCTTTAACGTATCTCTGGGTCTCATACCCAGACACTATATCGAAGCAACCTTTACAGTCTATGCTCAATTTCTTACCATTCAAACAGGAGAAGTTTTTGCAAGAAAGGCCATTCCAACTATAGCTCTTTTCACTACTAGTCTTCCAAAGAGAAATGGGAAAAGGTTGTAAATCGGATTTGGGTGTAATCTTGGAAAAGCACCTCCTCCTTGGGAGAGGCTGACAGCCCTTCAAAATCAGATTTTGACCCAGAACCCAGTCGTCTGGGCAAGGCCCGCTGACCTTATATTTCATGAACTGCGACAGCAAATCGATGGATTTCTGGCAAGAATGACCCACGGAAGCCACCATTGTTGTAATCCCAGTTCTTGAATCTTTGCCCAGAGGAAGCTGGTGACGAAGAAGAAACATTCTCAGCTCAGGGGCGATGTTGGGTTTGGAAAGATCAATGCTTTCGTAGCCTAGGAGCTCTTTCTGGATATGGGCGACCTTCTTCTGAGACGAATTGATCTCACTGAGGATAAGGGAGACATGGTCGGAGATGTTCTTGTGGGTCTCGTGAAGGAGTAGATGGTGGGTCTTGCTAGGTGGGTGGGTAAAAGCGTATAGAGCGAAGAGATTTGTAGTGAGTACGGAGAAGACCATGAGAAGATTGACAGCTGATGAGCAAAGGGAAGCCCTCTTCTTGAATCTTGCTGTTCCGTCTCCTACTTTCAGAGACACAGACCCCATCTTCTTACACTCCCAAACACACTCTAAAGATGTTCAGCAAGGAAGAACACAAGTGAAGATCTGAGGAAGCAAAACGGTATCCAAACCAAAGTGGAGTGTACTTCTTTTTAAGCAAGTGGTATTCTGCTGTACTTCGCCATTCTCGCACAGAGATTCTTGAGCAGTCACATGAGACAAAAGTTACCAGGGGAGTAGGACTCATGAATACTAGACACTGAGTAAACTATAACCAGAGTGAAGAAGGTTTACCCGTTTACGGTTTACCTCATTACCCTCTCTCATCTATGCGGAAGTTATACGGTTTAAATTGCATACGTAATTTAAATGGCCTAAATTTTAAATAAAAAGTTATTTTTACACTATTGTCATGTACGTAGTATTATTTCTTTCAAAAATATAAATTTATAGGGTTAATTGCATAATTTAAAATAGAAAATTAAAAGTTTTGTAATTATATAGATTAAGGGTAACATTATTTATTTCCTAATGCAAGCTTGACTATGGTGATAAAATAACTTTTTATACTTTGTATAAAGTTTGAGGTATTTAAATTACATATGCAAGTTTGGAGTGTTAATCGATCTCACATCCTTTCAAAGTTTAGGATATTTTAATTGCTTTCCCTTTTTGAGTTAATCGAAAGTGTTTTAGCAATTTTCGAATGTGTTAGGAATAGCGGTCTGAAAATGTATACATGATGAGCACAGAATAATATAAGTTGTTTATTGAATTTGTTTGAAATAATGACCCTTATATTATTAAATATTAATTGGTTTTTGAATTCCAAAAATATGAGTCTTTTGGCATTTTCCATAAAAGTGACCTTTAATGAACCGTTCCCCATGAATCGTATACACCATCGTTCATTGCATCGGCACAATTTTTTTCGGCCAGTTTCGTCCGGCCGCCTCTTGCCGTCTAATTGCTCACCTTAGGCATGTCAAAAAACCCCAGCCGGCAAGGACCCGCTCTGGCCCGAGGCATTTGGGGCGGGTTCACCCTGCCCCATCTTGCAAATGGGGCGGATCCGCCCTGTCACGTAATTAGGGGTGGGCAAGAATACCGGAAAATCGGTATACCGCACTTACCGTACCGAAAAATACCGGAAAATACCGGAATATTGGTATACTGTCATTTTCGGTACGGTATGATACCGTACCGATATATTTCAGTATGGTAACGGTAAATGTTTTCAAATACCGCGGTATACCGGTATAATACCGTACCGACTCCCACCCAGCGATTACTATAAATTCTAAAATATTGTAAAAATCCATTACAAGTTTGAAGCCCAAAACTAATACTTATGTTGGTTACAAATACTAAAATACAAAAATAAATGCCCGATTTCCCAAACTCACTATAACTTTCTAGACTTCTACTACGTAACATTCAAACAAACAAACCCTAATGACTAATGAGTAATGTACTAATATCCGGACCAGTCCATCTTGTTCCATGAGCTTGCGAGTCGCGATGGCTGAGCCGCTAAGTAGCTGACGAGTGAAGAGGGATACACTTATGTCACGAGTGATTGACATAGAGATTCCGCAAGTCGAGGTACATAACTTTGTCCGAAAGTCTTATTCAAATATTTTATTTAAAATTATTATAAAGACTAAATACACAATATCATATTATGGATAAATGATATCATATCCATGTTGTTTGAATAATTATATTTATTTTTGTTAGTGATCACTATTCATTTAATTATATCTATATTGCTCAAGTTATTTAAATATGCTGAAGTGCTTAAATATACTAATAATTATAATTGTTCAATATTGAATATGACATCAATAGATTATTAATTGTATTTTGTAACATTTTAATAATGGATTAAATATGTCGTTAGTACACCGATTTACTATATTTTGTTAGTCTATGATAATTTTTTGAATTGGGGGACATGCATAGTAATTTACCGATACCGTACCGTTACCGAACCGAAACTTCGGTATACCGAAATGCGGTATACCGAAACTTCGGTAAGGTAACGGTATATAAATTTTGTATACCGAAAGTTTCGGTACGGTAAAGGTATGAGACAAAATATTCGGTATACCGTACCGAACCACCCCTAGCCACGTTCATACAATGGGGCGGATCCGAGTATTAGTATTGACCCGTGTCGCTCGGCACCGCCTCGCCCCACTCAATATATAAGTATACATTTTTTAAAATTATACTCCCTCCGTCCCGGAATTATCTTCATACTTTTCTTTTCGGTCTGTTCCAAATTTATCTCATCTTTCCCTTTTTAGCAAAGAATTTGTGGTTCACAACCATTCTTACACATTCTTACACATTTCTCTTTCCTCTGCACAACTCTCCACCACACATTTCCCACTATCTTAATCTGTGTGCCATTTGTACTTCAGGAGATAAATATGGGACGAAGGGAGTAATAAAAATATACATAAATACATACATATGTCTATACAATATTAGAAATTCCTTGATCTTGTAATATATTAATATTTATATTTGAATGAGATGAACAATAATTAATTGTCATTTTATTTTTTATATATAGCATATTATATATTCATTAATTAATAATAATAGATTACATGTTTAAATCTTGATATTTTTTTTAACTTTTAACATTTTTTCAGTGCATAGCGGCTATGATTTATTGTATAACTTTTTTTATAATTATTTAGAGATAAATTTTATGTAAATTTAAATTGTAACGGCTTCACGCAAATAGAAATACATAATTCATACTAGCTAGTTAGGTTACGGCGGGGCAATGAGAAAATTGACACGAAAAACTGGGAGTGACAACTTTTAGTGATATGAAAAAATCGCAGTGACAATATTTCTACAGTGATATATAATTTCTGTAGTGACATCATGTTTTCCAAATATATGACTTTAGTGTTCACATTTTTGTCAATAATCAAAAGTGGTCACATTTATTAAATTTGACTTCAATTTAGTAAATATTTAGGTAAAAACCCCAATTTGTTTTATCATCAAACTATTTTTCCTGCATATTCTAATCGAAATTCCAAATCCAGTCGAACTTGCAAATTCATATTTAAACTTCAATTTATTCTTTAAATAGGGAGAACTATCAAATAAGCCCTCAATCTTTCATAAAAAGTGCAAATACACCCTTTTATATGAGGCTCTATCCGACCGTCGCCATTTGGGGCGGTTTCCGGTGAAATTTTTTGATATTTTTTTAGTATCTTCTTCATTAAGTCTAGTTTATTCGTAGCAAATTTCAGCTAAAAATTCAATCGGGAAGGCAGTCAAATGAATTTTTGAAGATAACTGCGCAATTAGATAGCGCAATATATTTCAGAAAATCATTTTACTGCCTTCTCGATTGATTTTTTAGCTTAAATTTGGTATGAGTAAACTAGACTTAATGAAAAAGATGCTCAAAAAAATTCATCAAAAAAATCTACCGGAAACCGCCCCAAATGGCGACAGCCGGACAAAGCCTCCTCTAAAAGGATTTATTTGCACTTTTTATGAAAGTTTGAGTGCTTATTTGATAGTTCTCCCATTTAAATATAATCAGATCAGATTTCTTTGTTACAATCGTAATTAATTTTAATTGGGTTTTTAATTCATTTAGTTTAAAATAGAAATGGGATTACATATTCTAAATTCAGTTTGTGTCTATTTCATTGTAATACTCAGTTTTTGTCCCTTTATAGAAATCGAATCGATGTGTTTTCATTGTGACTCCACTTACCCTTGTTAGCTTTTGCTTTTCAAATCTCAGTACATTCAATTATACTGCGTGCTACGTATACTAAAAGCAACCCCAATGCAAGAGTGTGGTCTCCTACACACCCTTACGCATGAGTCTCATTTTTTATTTTACAATTTTTATGTGTAGGATCCACGTATTTCCTAATTTTTTCATTTTTCATTTTTCATATCACTTTTAATCTACTTTTCATCAACTTTTCCTCCTTGAATCCCGTGTAAGGTCCATATATGGACCTTGTGGTAGACCTTGGTCCATTTTTACCTCTATCTCTTTCCTCTTTTTCATTTTTCCCTATACACCACTTCATCCAAATATTTATTCTATCTCTATCTCTCTCCTATGTCACATCAGCTGCAATGCACCCTCCCATTTTTAAACTTATTACTCCTACTTAGTTGCAAATTCTTTCACTACATATACAATGGAGAAAGAATTCCCCCCAAAAAAAATTGTTTTTAAAAAAAAAATTCTTTAAAAAAAAAAGATTTTTTTTTTGAGAAAGAGTTCCCAAATCCAATAAGTTGTCTAATTCACGTGACTTATTTTAGTCACTTTTTATAATGCAGATCTCATTTATTTTCTTTAATCTTCAGTTATTTGTTTTTAGAATTAGGTTTACTAATTGTGTGTTTGCTTAATTCTTTACACTTTCACGGGTATCCTGTTTATAAATGGATCTGAATATATAAGGATTTAAAAACAATTGAGAATCTATGAAATAATCATTCACAAGGGGAAAACTTCATTATACAGTTATACTTGTATCACAATGCAACTCATCTATTTTATTTAATGAATTAATCTTTGGAAGGAGATTAAGATTAATCTATTTTAAGTCGAGGCTATTCTACTAAAAGTAAAGACAAACAATTTGCAACCCAATTAATGAAAACGTAAAAAAAGGGCGGGAAATGGTTTTAGACGCAAACTTTTTCTTAACTAGATTCAAATTTTAAAATTGCGATCTCTTGATTAAAAATGCTTTTATCATTTTTCAATTTTTTTTTCTAACATAGGTCTAAAATAAAAATTTAATAAGTCTCAAATAAAAAGGGAAAGTTCCAGAAATAGGACTAAAATAATTTGCAATTTTCAAAATAGGACTCTCATATTTTTTATTCCCAAAATAGGAGTAATTACTGTCAAGTTTAGAAAATACCGCCATGTTTGAGTCTACTAATGCCAAAACATGACAGTAATTAGTCCTATTTTGGGAATAAAAACATAGCAGCCATATTTTGGAATTTTCAAACTTTGTTAGTCCTATTTAGGGATGGACCCGGGCCGGCCTGGTTCCGGTTCCGGGCGGGCTTTTTTTGCAAATCCTTGGGCCCGAAACCGGCCCGGGTTGATACCAGGTCCGGGCCTAACCGGCCCGGGCCGGGCCCGGTTCAATGTCTATTTTTTTTGCTTTCTTGTTAACCCCGACCCCGCCCCTCACCCCCACCCCCCAAACCTCCCCAAAACACTCATCCCTACCCTAGGAAAAGGAAAAAAATTGAAAAAAGAAAAAAAATGACCCGAGCCCAGCCCGAACCGCCCGGGCCGGTTCGCCCAAAACTGGGCCCGAGCCAACCCGCCCGACCCGCCCAAACGGGCTAAAAGCCCGGAACCGGCCAACCGCTCCCAGTCCAGTCCGGGCCCGCACAGTAGCGGGCCGGGACGGTTCCAGGCAGGGCCGGCCCGGTTTAGTCCATACCTAGTCCTATTTCGGGTAATATTCTCAAATAAAAAATATAAAAATAAAACTTTAAACTCATTTATTTTTGCGTCAGAAAGTTTGACTTTTTAAATCATACGAAGTATTTATTTGCACAAAGTTTGGCAAAAAATTGATATATACTACGTAATATTAAAAGTAAGTCTTTGATTTAAAACACTTTACTGAACGGATATATTGATGTTGCTAGATCGAAGGGAAAAACTTAATCGACCAAGTGCATATATATGAACGGATGATGAATTTGATTTATTGACAATTAGGCAATTAGCCTAATAATTCTTGCCTATCGACTATGGTTAGTAATGAATTGTGCCAAGTAATGAATTGTGCCAAGTAATGGTCGCGTGTGTTTAATCTTCTACTCCGTTTTTTTACTACTCAATAAGTCTGTTTAAAAGGTGTGACATATGATAACTTATCCTAATGATAAGGCGTTAAGCTCATACAATCATACGTAAAGCTTTCAAAGTTTAATTAGATTAAACAAAGTTTCAGGCTAAAAAAAGGGAAGAGGCAAATAAGGCCACGTACTAACCAAAAAAAGTCAAATAAGGTCTTATTTATGAGGCTCTGTCCGGCCTTAGCCATTTGGGGTGGTTCTCGGTGGAATTTTTTGATGAATTTTTTTACCATCTTATTCATTAAGTCTAATTTACTCATACCAAATTTCAGATAAAAATTTAATCGAGAAGGCATTCAAATGAATTCTTGAAGATAACTGCGCTTTTAACTACGCAATTATCTTAAATAATTCATTTGAATGGCTTCCCGATTGAATTTTTAGCTTAAATTTGGTATGAGTAAACTAGACTTACTGAATAAGATGCTCAAAAAAATTCATCAAAAAATTCCATCGAGAACCAACCCAAATGGCGAAGGCCAGACAGAGCCTCATAAATAAGGCCTTATTTGACCTTTTTTGGTTAGTACGTGGCCTTATTTGCCCCTTTTCCCCGTAAAAAAATTATCTTAGATTTTTATTAATAATGGCTTTTTCTCTGTTTTTCATTAAAATAACAAGAAAACGTTCCCTCGAAACCTTATATGTAATGACATCTGCCATGATTATTTAGCACTGCACTAGTTACACTTACAAATCGAACAAGGCAATGATTTTTTAAGATTCAAGGGAAACTTCAAACAAAAAGACTGATAATGAGTGTTTTCTGATGAGCCACTACCTTTCACTATTTACAAAGAAAACAGAAAGAAACAAAGAAAATTCAGAACATCTATTATGTCAATAGACACTTGCTATACAAAAACAGCACTAACTTGGCTACAAACACACTCATTCAGCTGCAGCAGGGAATGGGCTAGTGCAGCAGTTAAGCTACACACATGGAAATCTGCATTCTAGTGTTGTCCCCAAACAAGCGCTCAGGTAAAAATGTGGTTAATGCAAAAACAATACAAAAACAAAAGGGAGCTTCACCACAACCGTAGTATATCATCTCGAGGCTGTCCTAGGGGGGGCCTTATTTCGGGTTTTTTCAGAGAAACTCTCTGGTTTCTCTTGCTCCATATTATTATTAAGCCCATCAGATCTTCTAGATGTATCTTGAGGAGTTTGGAGTGATTGTTGACCATCTACATTCGGCACAATAGCTTGGTTGCTGTTTGATTCTATATGTTCAGATGAAGGGCTGCTCTCGGACATGTTGTGTAAGGATGGGGGAGGGTCTGACCCTTTTCGCTCAATAGACCGGGCAGGCTGCCCAAAAATCCGGTCCTTGTCTGTTGGTTGGACCTGATTTCCAATTTGAGTGTTGCGCTCCTTCATAAAGTTGAGCCGGTTTGTCAGCTTTGTCAGTGCTGAAGTGGCAGTCACCCCCTGCTGTTCATTCATATGTACATACATATTCACCAATAAGTAATAACCTACAAAATACATAGTACTCCGTAATATATTTATAATAACAAATAGTAACTACTAAAGCCTGCCTCGTTTTTTGAACCAGATTTCTTCGAACTACTTGAAGAAGAAGTCCCTCTAACAGCAAGCAAAGATTCAACAGAGGCAGCAAATGATGCTGCAGGAGAGTTAAAATTCAGCAGCGGTTTATTCACTGACAGCTGAAGTTCACTTTTCTTGTCCCGCTCACTTTCTGCTTTCTCTTTTCTGTAGCCATATACCATGGAAAGAAAGTCACCAAAAGCCCCAAATAAGAAGAGATGCCTTTTTCAGGCCCCATTTCGTTAGCATTAATTGACTTATTTTGCTTATCAGCATAATAAGCAGCCTTTGACTTAATTGGTTGAAATCCGTTTTACTAAAGACTTCTCTTAAAAAAACTCAACACATTCAGCTATTTCAGATGACAAACGAAATTAATATGGAATTTTATTAAGAACGTAAATCAAACACAGATAGAGAATGGTCCAAAGGGAATGATAATGATGACTTTACATTTTTCCTTGATAAGTTGTTTTGTGTCGTGGTTGGGTGCCTGCATCAATGTGAAGTTTGGAAGTGTATTCCCTCTGCCTATGGAGCTCTGCTTCAATATCATCAGCCTTCTGTTTTAAACTCATGACATCTGCCTCAGCTTGAGCAATCTCCTCCAACTTTGCTTTCACCTATTGCATGCAACAATGGAGACTCATTATTTCCAGTCTTGCATAATAGTATGGATACATTGTTCAATATAGATTATGAACAGACAGCTTTGCTAATACTGGAGGGTATGGGTTGTGATCCTTGAGGATTGATAAGTCTGGCTTCCAGTATCATCCTCAACTCCTGTTCCTTCTCCAACAGATCCTGAAGCCTGGCTACCTGTCCGTACAGAAAAAATTATTCCCAATTTCTGTTTAGAGAAATCTATTTTCCGCAAATGGCTATTATTATATTCATTGCAATAATTTCCACGACATTGCAGTATTCTACTAAGAGAGTGTTTGGGATAACATGTTTTCAGAGAAAAGTGCTTCTCAGAGGAAAAAAGTACTTACAGTTCAAAGAGAAGTGTTAGCCAGGTAAAAAAATTGATTTTAACAGTAAACCCCACTTTTTAAGATAGCAGTAGGGTAATTTTTCTTCAGTCTTTAAGATGGCATTTACCATATGTTATCGCCAACTAACTCTAAATTAGTAATACAAATCAATGTTCAATACTTCAGCAGTTTAGCATCGCAGATTAGTACAATCATACCACCAAATTTTTGAACCATTTGTAACCACTCAATTTCATCTTCATCTTGTTTTAGCTATGCATCATATGTTACAGAAAAAAAAAGTATTCCACCTAACAGAGCAGTTATCATCTTATCTAGAACCTTCAGAAAGAAAAGAAGCGCTAGGTAAAAAAACATACTTCCTGCTCAAGAGTTACACGGCGCTCATGCAAGGTGTTCTTCTGTTTCTCCATACTTTCTTGCATATCTGCATTCACCTTAGCCTATCAAGACAAGATAAAATTGCAATACCATAGCATGAGCAACGGAAACAAATCAAACAATCGCAGATGAAGAGTGTATGTAGTCTCTACGTGAAAATTGATCGATACCTCCTTGGCAATTCTGTGTTGCAAGTCAGTATTTATAGCCTCAAGCTTCTGGATTTCAGCATTAACACAACTGTGAAAGGGGGGGAGCAGGACAGCAGATTTTGTCATATGTTTTAGTGCAGAAGATAAAAAGTCAAATCACAAAAAAGTGGAATTAATAAAAGAGAGATGATGCATGAAGCCCATGTTATTCTAGATGTTGCAGGCAACTGAAAAATTGAATTATCAGTGTAAATAACAATGAAAAATCTGAACATTCAGAAACCTTTCTCAATTCAAAAAAGGACATCGAACTTATGTAGCATATGATCCTAGAAGTTTTCCAAGTCATAAAGTTCAGATAAAGACACAAGTACTGATCACCAACATTCATAGATAGAGAAAAGAAGAACACATCAAATGATAGTTGGTCTGACCAAATGTGAAAAGCTGTGAGCTGAAGTAAATCACTCACCCATCATCAAAGGGGATATTATCATGGGATTCCACGGAAAGGTTCTTCTTGGCCTGTGTTCAGGAGGGAAAACATGAAGACTCTTCTATTAAAAACATTAATAATGCAGGTACTTAACTTGAAGACAGTGAGATTAAAGAATGGATGATATACACCCAAATAAATAGGGAAAAGATAAGGGCTTAATTGAAGAAAGTACATCTGTAGATTTTTTAGAAGTGGAAATGTCAGCAACTTGAACCTTGGGATCAGTTTCTGGCCTCATAGGAATATCACGACTCTGAATAGTTGTTTCTTGCTTATGAGACATTTGAAGGGGAGCGTGTGGAGATATATAATTTACTTCAAGAGCATTGCATGGATAAGGCGTCCTGGGACTGGAGACCTGTATCTTAGGCATAAAGATTAGTTTTTGAAAGTAATAATAAAAAGCTACTTGACATGTTAATGGAAATGGCATAAATATGATAAACTGAATGTTGACACTTCAACAGCAAGCATGATGAATTCTTTTTGCATTAACATAAAGTGTTAATTGATGAACACTTTTACCTATGAACGTCCACCTTTTGAAATGTTATACTTGTATGTTGGCATAAGCTTTTAAACTATTGTTTATCAATTCATTATGTTTTCCCAATCAATAATGGATATGAAAGATAAAATATAAATTCAAGATTTTAAGTATCATGATTTCTGAGTCTGTTTACTTTAAAAATGGTCTTTAAAAATGCTTTTCAAAATTTAATATATAATTCAGGAAAGGAATTTCACAGAAATTAATAAAACGATATAATAAAAGAAATGAAATTCATGCTTTTTTTAGTTTCAGATTGAAAGTCTTAACCATTGAGATCCTAAATAGATAGGTTTCATCTTTGAGATTAAGAATTGATAGATAACCTATGTTTCAGGTTCTAAATTGATAAAACTCCAAAAGAGAGATATGAGGCTATACCCACACAAGCTAACTTAGTGACTGCCATGAGTGATTTCATAGCCATTTATGGGGATGCTCTAAAGGAAATTTTCAACGAACCTTACTAGCACACTCATTTTCACTAGTCTGACTAGTAGCTCTAGATGCATGCTCGGTATCGTCCGTTATGTCATCTGCAATATCACCACCACTACCATCATCATCTTCATCTTCTTCATCATCATCTTCTTCTTCATCTTCATCATCATAATCACTACCATCATAATTTCCATCATCATCAGTAATTTCTTCACTCCCGCTTTCACTACCGTCTGAGTCAGAGTAAAGTTCAGTTTGCACAGAGCCTTCCTGCAACCAGTTTAAATGATTATTAATTACTTGTAAGCTAAGGAAACAAAGCAACATCTAAAAAGACAATTAGGTGTGAAAAAAAGAAATACGAAAATTCATCTAGGTGGCTGAAAATTAAGAGGGATAAACCGATTACATATCCTGCTAAGTAAATTGAAGGATATAATGAAGCAACTATTGCTGGTGGGTTGACAGGTAGATAAGAAGCCTGCCAAAACTGGTGATACAAAACCAAGATGAAATCATCTCTTCAATCTCATACAACTTTATACAGAGTATAATTTATAATGTTGCTACTTTAAAGTAAGAATTGGCTTTTGGTTTTCCAGACCACACAAATGATGGGAGTATGGGGCATATCAAGAAATAGATATCCCAACCCTTCCCCTAAGGAGAGGCCAAAGCTGTAAGATTGGGGTAGGGCCTACACTCTCTTCTTTGCACACCTCCACATTAAAGCTTATCAAACATGGGACTGCATGGGATGACTATCCTGATCCCATGTACTTCTGCATGCCAAATGGCCCTTAATATCAATATATCAAGCTAATCCTCAAGTCTAATGAAATGATAACTACCACTATGAGGTAACACATGTACACCAAGATGTGTCACCACAATATAACTACTCTCAAGTCTCAAGGACAAACTAGAAGAGTAAACCCAATAAACCAGAATGAGTATCCAACAGGCTACATAGATCAACTCATAAAGTAAGAGAAACCCCCATTGCATTAAGGCTAGAATGGCAAAACTTCCAGAAGAGAAACAGAACGATTTCATTGCATTTAGGAATCTGAGTTTATATAAGGTGGTAAGGACATTGCTAATACTAGTATTCTCAGAGGTCACTATTTTGAATCCCCGGAGTACCATGGAGATTTTACCAGGTTGTTAACTTCAGGGCCCGCCGGATTATTCGGACCAGAGGTCCTAACCACCCACATTATGAAAAAAGGACATCACTTATGATAGCAAACCAATGCGATGCATATCAAATGAAATGAAGTATGTTTTGCAAAAGTAAATTCAGTTCAGTTTCAAAGAAATATATTAACTGCCATTTTAGAAAGGAGTCTTGTCTCAATAAGGTACACAATTTAATTTTTACAAGGTACAAGTCTTATTACTCATGAATCATACTAATGTTTTTCAATTCATTTGTTGGTGTGAGTGTGTGACTAGTTCATTATCTTTAACTTATTTGTAATTCTTTTTAGAAAAATTACAACTTTCAATGAAAATATTGTTTTTTATTGAAACACAACTACCTTTTTTACAGAGTTTTTGAAAAAAAAGACTCCATTTTAAAGGGGAGTATATTATTTCAGATTAATAAATAACCACCTCCCAAAATCACTAGAAATCTATCTATTGTCTAAATATCAACCTCTCCAATCGACATGCCAGTCAAATATGTAGAAATAAATTACATATAAAACATACCCCAAAAATACTATCATACTCCTCCAGCAAAGTGATGACAATAGCTTGGGCATGGTTCGCTGCGGCAGCTGCTTGCAGAAGTTGAATAGAACCATCACCACCCATATCAAAGCTGCGTTCAAGTTCGCACTCTCCAGATAATAGAGGTCGCAGTAGCAAAGGTGCCATGCAAGCAGCAACAGCTGAAGTGCTCATACGGTTCTCATTCTTGTGAGAAACCACATTTTTCATCATTACGAGAACTCTGATCCACAAGCAAAATGGATATTTTTACACTTTAGTACTTCAAGTAATTCCAGTCAAACATGAAAATCGAAATAATTAAAAGAAAGTTGTATGTCGTAATCCAACATAATGTACTCCCTCCGTCCCGAATTGAATTGCAAACTTTGACCGGCACAAGGATTAAGAAATGACAATAAATGATCTTGCTTTTTACACTTTTGTCCATCTTTCTAAAAGTAGATGCCTTTAAGTTAATGGGGAAAAAGTAAAAGTAAAGGCAAATTTGTCACTTTATTCTTATTTACAAACCTAAAATAGAAAGTGGAAAACCATTTTGGGACAACCAAAAAAGGAAATTTTGCAAATCAAATTGGGACGGAGGGAGTATCTAGTTTACTTGAGCAAGAACTTTTTGTGTTTTTGAAAGAGGTGTTAACGACTAAGCTATGGCTCATTTCTTTTCCTGGTGAATATTCAATATACATTCAGTTAGTACAGAGCTGAATTTAAGAAACTTTTATGCGAGTTGAGCTTAACTTTAGTATCTTAATTCCTAATACTGCCCTGAAGCAACTGCGGAAAAAAACAAGCTTTTACATATTTTTTTATAATTTATATGTAATATAATTATCAAACTATTATGTTATCCGATTACATTTATATGTTTACAGAAAAAATATTTACATGAAAAGGATGAAACAATTAATACTGAGTGGAGACTATCAGACCCAAGCTTTTAAACACTGATATTTGAGTTAAGTTTCAGATTGAGGAAAAATAAATCCTATCCCAGCTCGAGCGAGCTCTGAACTTTGACCATTAATGCTCAAACCAGCTCATTTACACCTAATCTAAACGTCAAACATGAATGAATAAACATAGATGAATTTTCATAAAGTTTAAACTGAAATATATGAAGAAGATATGCATTAATACATACTACATCTGTTCTTAAATAAGTGCAATAGTCCACTTCACATCAGAAGTGAAAAGTGGACTGTTGCACTCATTTAAGAATGGTGAGCGTGCTTTCTAATAAACAAAAATTAGAAGTGCTGACGAAAGTTAGAGCACTCTTTTCTGAACAGAAAATAGCCTTCTAAGCAGCCTTTTATCATGCACTCGCATAGATTTTTACACCAGCCTGAGTAAAAAAGGGGAAATTATGTCTAGGCCATTGAGACCAGCTGGGACAATTTCTCATAACAAAGGGCATAGAAGTGATTTGACAAATTTAACAATATTTATAAAAAAATTATGAATACATTAATAAATGAAATGTGTGTTCCATCATTTGCAATGGAGCCAAAGACTCACTATTTTTTGGCTTGGGAATATGATGGAACAAAGAAAAATTGCTCACTAAACTGTCTACGCCTCTTTGTTATGAAACAGTAGTCAGTCCATGCAATTTTGGACGCGAATTTCACTATGGGTCATCCGAAAACAATCTCTATGTGCATTAATACAGAGGTAAGACCATATATATCCGACCATCCCTTACCCCAACGTAGGTGAAAGCCGTTGCGGCAATGGGGTAATGATGATGATGATAAATAATTGAAACATAGTCAAAGTAGAACATGCTAATATTGAAAAATTCAACATGTTGCATTTATTTAAGAACTGAGGTAGTATGTACAATTGCACACATAATATAATATCTATAAGTAAAAGCATGTTGTACAATGAGCAAGAAAAGAAATTCAAATTTAAAAATAGTAAGGATTCAAGGCATCATATTACAATATTGAACAAATCAAGAGTTGAGTTATTAACGACACCTCTGTAATAAACGCCGATTTGGCTCAGGAAACGTCTCCAGTATAGCTGAATGAATAGCACTCACTCTCATGCCACGGTCAACTCCTAAAAGTTAATACATATGAAAATGTCCAGTTAATAAAAAATAATCAAACCTCTAATAGAGCATAAAGATGTAACCATCTATTTAAACTCAACACATGATTTCAAGGCCTAATATACTCCAAATCATAACATAGGATTGCCATTTCTACTTCACCCTTTAAATTTCCTGATATCCTTCCACCCTATGGTGACAGACTGACAGGTTAGACTTAGTTGCACCATGACTTATAAGTTGTAGTATTCTCATTAATCCTTTTTAAAGAAGCAATTTCACTTTCTTGCATCACTTTGACATTCTACCAGACTTGTATCATAATAAACTCATCTCTTATGTTTATACGTAAAAAGAACCCCATTTAAGTTGTTTCATGTGATTCTTCTTCAAAACAACTGCCATAGGAAAATATGGCGCGTAAACGCACTTTTGGATGCATAAGATTGATTACTACAAATAACATTAAGTGTGATATAGAGCAGGGGGAGCAGGGGGACAGGTAGGAAGAAGTGGGTCCGAAACCCAAACCCCTGTTGGTCTACCGGAGGCGGGGACGGGCCTGAGTCCACTTCTGTGGCCTCAGCTAATTTACCGAAAATAATCTGAAAAGAATCTTGCTTAGTAGGCTAATAATAGAAATAATAATAATAATAATAATAATAATAATAAGTGTACATTTAGTATAAATAGAAGGGGAAGGGAAGAATAAAGGTAGGCTGTTATTGAATTAGAAAGTAGAACTTTGGAGAGCTCTGGCACTCTCGAACTTGCCCAGAAACTATCCTTTTTGTAATTCTTTCTGTTAGTTGAATGAAATATCAGTTTCTTGACTATCTTGTTAGATAGAAATCTGGAAATTATCGGTGTTCTATCATTGCCTCATTGGTATCAGAGCATAAGATGGATTCGCTGGAGAATATGATGGATTCGTGGGAGAGGCATCAGACATCGACGAAGAAGAACTTAACAGACCTGAAAACAATGGCGGAAAACCTTGACAGAAAGCTAGCTGCGATGGAAGAACTCTTCCAGACTAGACAACGATGGTGGTTGCCAAGGATGTCCTTTAGTTCGCAGATGCGAACTAATTCTTCCAGATTGTCGCTAACTGAGCAGTTTTCTTCTCAATCACGAGAAATTTCTTCCAGTTCACATAAGACACAATCGAGGTGTGAAACTCCCAATTCACAATCGCGAACAGTGTCTACCAGTTCGCAGGTCTCCGTTCGCAGAGCTCAACACGCGAGAGTCGAGTCCACTGGTCCGCAGGATTCACCGCAAGTTGATTCTTCTCAACATACGCAAAATCGCGATAGCAGTAAAAGACCTATTCTGACGGGACGAAAGGTAGATTTACACGCAGTCGGAAACACACAGAAGTCTTCGCCTACAACGTCTTCCAGTTCTCACTCGCGAGAAAACCCTTTCACTTCTCTGGTTTCGTCAAGAACTGTTTTTCATCAGCAATCGTCATCGCAAGCCGTTTCTCTCAGTCGTCCGCCGGTGTCCTCTCAGTCAGCATCGTTTGTCGTTTCTCCTACTTCAAAGGGACTTTCTTATGCGAGCTATTCACAGCAGAAAGTAAAGCAATCGAGAGGAATACTCATGTTCGCAAGTGCTATCGCCAGCCGTTTCTCAACCTGCACAAGACTATCCCCGGTTGACAAAGAATACCCAGTTGAAGTCCGCTGATCATGTAATTAAGAAACTGACGGAAGACAAAAAACGAGGAGCAATCTACAGTAGCTGGAGGACCTGAAGCTGGTACAGTTGCTGGATTCCTCAATCGTTCACAGATATCATCTACTTCAGGAGCCATAAATTTAGTTGAATCAAAAATGGGATTGCAGGGCACTCCATTGTTGGCAAAGAACATTGAGTTGAAGTTAGCTGCATCTTCAGGTTCGGAACTGGATACGAATTATGGTATTAAGCAATCTATGGGACATGCACAAGAATATCTGGAAGGTATGGATAATGTGGATTCAGATTCTAACTCATCTCCAAAAGATGCTTTGATGGAAGGTGTAGTCTTGAGGTTTCACCTAGTGAGAACAGTTTATATGCAATTGTAGCAAGCACTGAGAATTTTCCGGACTTTAAATTCTTCCCTCTTCATGATGATATTGCAATTAGAAATTCCATTTTAAGGACTGCAATTAATCATATGCAAGAGAGTATAATTGGGACTGTTGTATGCAAAGATAAGTGTGGTTCATCTGTTTCTTTTGCTATGGTACTTCGGGATGGAAAAAGTCCCAAGTACATTTATTTCACCTACCAACTCGTGGGTTGGCACTTTGACAGGAGGACATGAACTGAACTCTCTTAAATCAGGACCTCATTCAATTTCATGTCAGAAGCTTGGTCAAAGTGGAAATGGGGATAGGAACAATGCAGAAATGGCTGTAACAAAGCAGAACAATCCAGTTTCTGCTCCTGTTTGCTGTGAAAGAAGTAAAGAAGAAAGGTGTTGTGTAACAGAAAACTAAAATCAACGGGGTAAACCGTTGCCCAGATAATCAACGATAAAAATACCGTTGCCCAGAGCCAAAAGGCTTAAACCAATTTTATTCCAAGATACGATAGAATGAACCCTGCAAGGGGTATAAATAGTCTTCTAAGAGAAACCCTAATCAAGCCCAAATTAATTAAATCCTAATTAAGCCCATAATAACTCTACTAAGTACTCTACTAATAATAGGCCCAAAGTAAAACATAGCATTAACTTAATAATAATAAATAAACTCTAATGACAGCCCTAACCCGGCCCACGGAAGTGGGCCCAAGCCCGGTCCCATCCCATGCTCTTCCCGCTCTCTATCAATCCATCCTCCTTCAAAATAACCTTGTCCTCAAGGTTGAAATCTGAAAACCGGCTCACATTTGTACCCAAGGGCTGCCCAGTAGTATCTTTAGGAAAAATTGAGATGTACTCCTCCCCAGTCCCTGTCTGCTTGCCTCCGGGCAGCCGTTTAAAGCAATTGCCCTTAAACCGTGAGTCAAAACGAGCCACCAATGCCTGTGTAAGCTCATCCCATGACATGACCGGATTTCATGCCCGTAACCAGGTCCACCAATATAAGGCTGGCCCTTCCATCGCAACTACAACGGCTGCCACCTTCTTTCTTAGCGGAGTACAGTTCAATTCGAACTGTTGATCAGCCCTATCAACCCAGCTGATCAGTTCTTCTCTGTTAAACGAGGGCAACATCGTGAGAAAGGTGCTGCACAGTCCAATTCCGAACGAGGATGCTGCTGCCGCGTCAAGTGAAGCCACCGCCGTTGAATGCTCCTCCACCGCTGGCGGCGCGAGAGTCTCTGTAAACGCAGCCAAGGAGGAAGTGACGCTGCACGGCTGTCTGCCGTTGCTGTGCGCAGATACGGTGGGGTTGCCAACTGCGTCCAGGCTTGTTTCCGTTGTGACCGGAGGAATTAGCGCCTTGGTAAGCACTGCCAGGGATGCGGCAATCTCTGCCAGACGCATGCCGTGCTCCTCTAGGGTTTGATTCATCCGAGTTTGCTTGGCGACCATCTCTATCAAGCGGTCGATCTGAGATCTCATCGTCCTGGCGGGACGGGATATGGCAGGTCAGACCAATTGTTGTGTAACAGAAAAATATAAAATCAACGGGGTAAAAATACTGTTGCCCAAAGCCAAAAGGCTTAAACCAATTTTATTCCAAGATACGATAGAATGAACCCTGCAAGGGGTATATATAGCCTTCTAAGAGAAACCCTAATCAAGCCCAAATTAATTAAACCCTAATTAAGCTCATAATAACTCTACTAAGTACTCTACTAATAATAGGCCCAAAGTAAAACATAGCATTAACTTAATAATAATAAATAAACTCTAATGACAGCCCTAACCCGGCCCACGGAAGTGGGTCCAAGCCCGGTCCCGCTCCATGCTCTTCCCGCTCTCTATCAAAAGGTCAAATAATGAAGGTCATGGCCAAGCAATCTGGGAGGTATTGGGAAGGGAGAGGTGCAAGAATGAAGTGGAAGTGGAAGATAATGGTGATAGAGTAGCGCAAATAGGTAATAGTAATGATCTGTAAAACAAGCTTCAGAAACAGTAACACTTCATTAATGGAGGTTCACCGTACAACAAGTCCCAAAGAGAAGAGAAACTATTCTCTTATCTCCCAGTCCCAAGCCAAGCATCAAACAGCCTCCTCCTATCTTTCAGCTTTATTCTATTTATAGTATTACCATTCAACCGACTTTAGTTAATAGCTACTAACAGAAAACAACTAATAACAAACTATTCTATTTATTTCTTCTAGTATCTATCCTTATTACTAAAAGTAATCATATCCCCTATCAGTACTCCCCCCTAAACATCCACCTTGCCCTCAAGGTGGGTGATAGGAAACAGCCAAGATCTTCCGCTTTCTCTTCATCCTGGCGCTTCTACCCTCCCAATATCTCATCGGTTTCTGCACAAGGAGCTTCAGTACTTGATCTTTACAATTCACAGGTGTTTCCGCAGCATAGAATATTTCTGGTGAAGTTTCATTTTCTTCCTTAGTCTTCAGGCCCTCAATAGCCACAAATATCTTCATGCTTTCCTGAGGTATATCCCTTACAACAGTAGCAGAATTTGTGTTCATGTCCTGAACATCAGGATTCTCATCTCTTTTAACCTGCTCATCAGAAATTTTTGAACTACAAATTGCTTCAACTCCATTTGACTTTTCTCCCTTTGAGTTATGATGATTGACTGTCATGATGCTTTTCAGTAAAACAATGCCACCCTCTGCCGCACTTCGAGTACACCCAACATCACTCCATCCCACAACTCCCATAGAAATTCTCCACCAAAATCTCTCTGCCACTGCACGTTTCTCAAAAGTAGTCCATTTTCACCTGGTGTCTTGAAACATAGAGTGGAGGGAGCCAGTTTATCTTTAAAATGGCATAATCTTTGCTGGTATGAAGCAACACAGTAACCAAGTAACACTTTATGAGCGAGAATACAAAATCAGCTCCTGCATTACCTAGTACAACAGCCATAATTCCTTGGTTCCATCCTTGCCTGTCAGAAGAAGGAAGTTCGCTTTCTCTAAAAGAACTCCAATCCTTGCTGCTGTTATTCAAGCTGGAGGGGTTGTTACAAGTGAGAGAACGAGTGATTGCTCCCGCTTCAGGTCCAAGATTAACTGAAGATTTCTTATTGTGTTCCTCTTCACCATTGGTGTGCTGCTGATTAACCAACTCCTGATGCGACTCTGGAAACTCAGATAGAGATTTCGAACTGGGTTTATCTGCTCGAGTCAAAGCCAAAGGTCCGCAAGAAATTTGTTTCCAACTCAGAGAAGCCACTTGAGACGAAGAAGGTGAACAGTGAGAATCGATTGGCGATGAAGACGGAGATTCTTCTCTCATTCGCGTTTTATTCTGATGCGGATAGATCACGGATAAAGGTGTTTGCGGACTGAGGTCGGTTAATGCAGTCGGTTGTGAACTGAAAGAAACAGTTCGAGATTGTGAAATAGGAGAGATAGTTCGTGATTCCGTTTGTGAACGTGTGAGCGATTGGGACGAACTTTGTTTGTCAGATAGCGAAGAGCGATGAGAAGAGCTATGCGAAGAGCGATGAGAAGAGCTATGCGAAGAGCGATGTGAAGAGCTATGCGAAGAGCGATGCGAACTGTGCGAAGAGCAATGTGAACTGTGTGAAGAGCGATGCGAACTGTGCGATGAGCGATGTGAAACAGAGGAGGCATGCGATCCACTTCGCGAACGGTCTGGAATTCTCCTCTGCATATCGGCGATGCCAGCCTGCATTGCTGACATCATCGCGTGCATTTCACGCTGATTCCTCTCCATATTGGCTTGTATCTCCCTTTGATTCATATCCATACTCATTTGCATCTCCCTTTGATTCCGTTCCATTTCAGTCATCCTTCCTTCCATTTTCGCACGCGTTAAGGTCATCCAGCGCAAATATCACTGATACCACTGATAGAGTAGCGCAAATAGGTAATAGCAATTATCTGTAAAACAAGCTTCAGAAATAGTAATACTTCATTAATGGAGGTTCACCGTACAACAAGTCCCAAAGAGAAGAGAAACTATTCTCTTATCTCCCAGTCCCAAGCCAAGCATCAAACAGCCTCCTCCTATCTTTCAGCTTTATTCTATTTATAGTATTACCATTCAACCGACTTTAGTTAATAGCTACTAACAGAAAACAACTAATAACAAACTATTCTATTTATTTCTTCTAGTATCTATCCTTATTACTAAAAGTAATCATATCCCTATCACATGGCTGATTCCTATCACCCACCTTGAGGACAAGGTGGTTGTTTAGGGGGGGGAGTATTGATAGGAATCTGGCTTAGTAGGCTAATAATAGAAATAATAATAATAATAATAATAATAATAATAAGTGTACATTTAGTATAAATAGAAGGGGAGGGGAAGAATAAAGATAGGCTGTTATTGAATTAGAAAGTAGAACTTTGGAGAGCTCTGGCACTCTCGAACTTGCCCAGAAACTCTCTTTTGTAATTCTTTCTGTTAGTTGAATGAAAGATCAGTTTCTTGACTATCTTGTTAGAAAGAAATCTGGAAATTATCGGTGTTCTATCATAATCCGTTGCCCAAGCTAATTTAGCTAATAAATCTGAATATTATTGTTGTCCCCTTGAATAGCCCTGTGTAGGGTATAAATAATACTCCCTACATCAAAGTTCCAGTAGGAAACTAATTAATTGTACGTAGGCTAAGTCCTAGTGGGAAATGAAACTTACGTACAAAGCCCAAGGGGAATCCTAATTAAAAATAATAAGAAACAATAATAAAAGAAACATAATTAAAGCTAATTAAAATTAATAATCCAGCCCACGGAAGTGGACTCAGGCCCGTCCCCGCCTCGGGTAGACCAACAGGGGCTTGGGTCTTGGACCCACCTCTCCCGACCCGTCTCCCTGCTCCCCCTGCTCTATATCAAAGTGTCTGTGTTTTGTTAAACTGAGCGAAAGAAATGCAAACTCCATCCCGTGTACAAGCACAACAAATTATGTCATTTTATCAAGATACTTTTATATCATTCACCATCAAAATAATCTCTACTTTATTCTTCGAAAACATATAACATGCGTGCAAGTCTGGAAAAGAAAAACTCCAAACTAAAAAATGAAAAGAAACTTACGGCATGATTCTAAAAGAGCATTGCAACAAGATGCAGGGACTGGAGATGATGGTAACTCCCGGAGTATATACTGGAGCCATTGAGTATATAAAACAACGTGAGAACAGTTGTACAAATATTTGACACACACATTGTTTATAATTCTCACAAAAGGTCATACCTTGACACAATCAGCTATAACATGTGCATCCTCTTCGGCAGAAAACTCAACTTTCCCTGGAAAAAACAATACCCAGCTTAAAATTATCTTTTACAGAAAAACATAGGACCTTCCAGCTAGTTTTGTACTTTCACATCTTTATTCTAGTTCATTTACCAAGGAAAAATGTGAAGGGTTTAACAAAAGAAAATTGCAAAACCAGACCTTTTTCATATTCTCTTATTCGACGCTCAACATCATCAACATATGCTGCTTGACGCAAGATGCCTTCAACTTTAACTCCTGAAATAAAAAGCATTCAGCCAATCATTATCTAACACTTAGTGAGTGTGCTTTCTAATAAACAAAAATTAGAAGTGATGGCAGAAAGTTAGAGCATTCTTTTCTGAACAAAAAATAGCCTTCTAACCAGCCTTTTATAATGCATGCCGCATGGGCATAGATTTTTATACCAGCCTGAGTAACAAAGGGCAAATTATGTCTAGGTCATTGAGACCAGCCGGGACAATTTCTCACGTGGCAAATGAAAAAAATTTAAATTACTTACTTTTCAGGTTTCTTTTTCAAGAGAAACTAAAAGGTGAGGGCAACTCAATGTGCCTCACAACCTTGTAATTCTCTTTTTCATTTTGAAAAATCAAGTACAAGTAATTTATTAAATGTAGTTTATGCAAGTAATCTTAGAGGGTGAATTGATTAAAAGTTGTTAAATTACAAATTTACAACTTGAATCCCATTTAAGCACTGGGCCACTGTCAACAATCTGTATAAGCTAATACTAGCATTCCTCCCATACAACAGAAGCAGTACTCATTGTGCTGATGAAACATAAATCCTACTTAATCTAGATGAATTTTACATCTCTCCTAACAAACAGAGACAATTTTAGAAATATTTAAGACATCAAAGCAGCAGGAAACTTTACCATGCTCTTCTACAAACCTAAGGGCTTTCTCCAAAAATGACGGAGTTCCATCAATACCTTCCAAAGCAAGTAAAACTGGCTGACCAATGACCAAAGATTTCTTTGGTGATTTTTCCTTAGCTACAGAGTGAAAAGGGCAGTTTGACGTTAGATCTAGGAAAAAGATATTCAAATGCTAAAGAAAACCATTTTGGTCAAATGTGTAAGATAACAATACACTTGTACGATTAGAAAAATGCATAACAGTCAACCCGGACCTCCCATTTCAAAGAAATTCCTAAAAGTCACAGTGGTGATTATTCAAAAAGATGAGTTTGGGTAGGAAAGCACCTCAGATAAACTTATGTTTGCTAAAACAGCGTTGGTTGTAGAAACCAAACAAATCTTTCCCACTACTACCATAAGATATCCTGTTTGGAAGCCTAAGAGAAACAGTAAATCTAAAAGCGGTACCACACAACCATAAGACTTGCTCCCCTATATTTTAGTAACTTTTCTGGAAACTAGAAAAAATCTCTTTTTTAACCAACGCCTACATTTTAGTAATATTAGTAGAAACCCCCCTATTATTATTGTTGTTATTAGTAGTAGTATTATTAGTACTATTATTATTATAACTGGAATGCCATCATTGAGTAGGAAACAAACAGCATCTAATATATTATTATAGCTTGTTTGACCCGTGAAAGCTTTAGCAAAGCACTTACATTGTTCTGAAGAGTCATCAACTGCATTTGCCTGATCATTCCTGATTATTCCATTTTGTCCCGCTACAAGAGTAGCACTAGGTGAATTTGCCAAGGCTTCTTCTAGTGCAACCTTCCACTCTAGCAAGTCTTCTGAAGTTTCAGCCTAAAATTTTAAGAGCTCTCAACATGAGACAACCACTCAAAAAGCATATCACACACAAGCAGATAACTGCATGTGATAGAACTCAAGAATAACAAGTTATACGTGAAAGATGCAATCCAAAGATAGAATGCTATCATATACTACAAGTCCTCTGCCAGAATATTAAAGTGAGTAATCATTTAAAGAGTACAATAGCAAAGCAGAAAAAGCTATTAAATGTAATAAAGTAAACAATAAATAAAAAAATAAAACCCATTCTAAGAAGAACACATAAAATCTAAACAAAGAGCATAAAAGAGCTAAAGACCTTAAGTGTGAAAGTACGCCCATCACGACCATCAGGAAAGAGTACAGTCAAGAGCTTCTTATCTTCTTTGACAAGCACACTGTGAATCCACTATTAAGTGATTAAAAATAACACTATAAAGGTAACGAACTTCAACAACAACAACAACAACATGAATTGACATATGAAATTGGAGCTAAAAGGTAACAGACTTCAAACAAAATATCTCGATTAAGGGTGGTATTGATGGATCCCGGAAAATGCTTGGGAAAGGAATAAAATGATAATGGAAGTTTTTTTCTTGTATTTTTGGCTTTTGCTTTTTACATAAATTTAGATTTCTTGGGCTTTATGTAATAGAAATATACAAAGTATAAATTAAAATGACTTTCAAGATATACAACAACAACAACATCCAAGCCTTAATTCCCAAAAGAGTTGGGATCAACTAACAAGAAAATGACTTTCAAGAGGTATCAAAATAAATTTATTGAGTTCGAGTAAATGTTTTATTTTCCCTCACATGTCATTTCCTTCTAATTCTTCTGGTATACCTCCACTTTTTCCTTGGCATTTTCTGAGCTGCATATGGACCCTAAAAGTCCTAGTGCTAGTAAACTTTGTCAAGCATCATGATAAATATATGCTAACCTGCCTGAACTGTTGAGGTCAATACCCCCAAGTGTTAAATTTGCTTCACCTACTTTCAGAGGGACGGCATTCTAAAATATCAAAAAAAGATACATGTTTTTAAAAAGGAAATAAACTTACGTGTGTGTGTGTGTGTATCACTCCAAGCATGGGGTTTTCTTCTGAAATGAAAACTGTAAGGCATAGTACACTAACTCTAAAATACCAAACCAAAGAAAACATTTTCAAAAGGGAAAGAAACCTACGTATATTTATCACCACCCAGCATGGGATTTTCTTCTGAAATGAAAACTATAAGCATAGCAAACTAATTCCACAGGCGCATAACCAATATGAAGAAGACACTTGAGTGAGTGAAATAGTCCAAATTTAGAATTATTCTGATTACGATAGGGAGGAATAATCTAAAGTTAGAATACTATCAATAATGATTTTCCGACCTAAGTACCAAAAAGGTCATCTAATTTCCAATCTTCCAAAACATCCTAACCATCAACAATAGAATACCAAATCATTATCCCCCGCTCAAAATACAAAGCACTACTATATGTTTCTAATTATTAAAATATGTACAAGGATGCTACATGCTAAATTGCAGCTGCAGTAGTAAGCAGTATATAATAAATCAGTCAAGCAATAATAATACCAAAAAGGTCTTAGATAGGAAACTGAGGAAAAAGGAAAGGGAGACGCACAGGATCACTTCTAAAGAAGACCAATGAGGTGCGTGTTAAAATGAACCACCTTTTCTTCCAAGAAGTCCATCCAATACCTACATGCAGAATCAATTAGAAAGTTCAAGGACCATGCTAGCAGCCATAAAACTTCAGACAATATAATGTTTCCTATTCCATTCTGTCTTCCCATACAATGTGAAAATAGCGAATGAAAAGGAATAAAATATTATGTAATCCAAAATTTAATTAAATAGCATAGTCTGAATGTTTTAAGAAGCTAAAAAGTAACTAAGATTGAGTTGGAAAATAAAGATTTAATGGTGTTTAAGAAATCTGACAGAGTCATATAAAATGTATAGCGCAAGAAATAGGAAAATGCCAAATCAAACATTGAGGTACTTACATGATGCCAACAAAATGTTTTAAAACTGATTTAGTAGTGCAGTAGATCATTTTTAAGTATAAAGTATTAATAATGGAATTTGATGATAATACCATCTCCTACAGTCACAAATTGATGAAAAGACATTATATTAATTTGCCAAAGTTAACTTTATGTTTGTCAAAGAGGTACTTAAAATTTATAATAAAAAAGGGATGATTTATAATGTTATGGATTCTACTAGCTATTGGTTGGATTCAATAATTTATAATTCGTTTAATTAAACGTATTATAGCTAGATTTATTGACATTCTCCTAAGAAACTCTTTGGTTCTTTGAGTTATCAACTTGACCCTTCTCAGCAGATTTTCACATGGAAATTTCGGTCATCTACTCATCCCTGAGAAATCTAGTCCTAAGAGGTTGTGACATGTGGCCCATTCACTAGATTATCCATCTATCAAACACATTGAACCATGTTTTCAGGCTTAGTTTCAGGGAAGAGAATTTCAGTTCCTAAGTAGTTAACTAGTTTGATCTAAAATAGTTTCCTGCTTCGATGAGATAGTGTTTAGAAGTTTATAACTTTAAACATTGGGGAAGAGACAACTTTATAATGCAATATTGTCAACTGACTGACTTGTTAAAATTGACTTTTTAGTCTTGATTAAAACTCAAATTAGTTATTACTCTCATGGCTTTAGGCTAGAGTGCTAGACCATTTAACTATACCTGTTTATATCTCCCTTTTTCCTTTTCCCAAACTCTCACAATAAAATGACCGAACTATGCTTGACCACATTGCTAAACAAGATGCCAAATTACTTATTTCATCACATTTAATGCACTTTTTCCTCTCTTAGTTATAGAATGATTGTATGGCCCAAGTGTTGACAACGGAAGGGTTTTATAAAAGAAGCCAAAAGCCTAACAACTAGGCATTCCTTTTATTTTCATATAAGACCAACAAGTACTCATACACGAAGGTCAAATCCAAAATAGATGGTCTAGATTCCCGACAGCTCACGTGTCGTGGTAGTGTAATATATTCATCACTCAAGTATCATTTATGTTTCCAAAAATGGGTTTTATATGTATGCGCACCTATGTGATGTTAAAGATTCACTTTTTATGAGTGTAATTCCCATTAGAGTCACGAAATACTATTTCTGCAATTAGAAATTCATAAATATTAAATACCCCAGATAATTAAACATTAAATACGCCAAATTGAGGCAAATGATACCAGATACTTGTTATTATCCAGAAACCAACTTAAGAGTGTTAGAACATAGTTTGAAATTTGGATATAAGTACAGATAGAATGAAGAACTTGAAGAGTGCCAAGTATCTTATAGAGACAGGCACATGATTAAAGTCATGTGAATGTACATAATAGAACAGAAAATATCTCTTTCTCGATCCAGCAAATATAAGGAGAGGGTAGGCAAACCTTTAGATGATATATACAGTGGACCACTTTTGTAAACCTGGCAAAGAAAGGTAAGATTGGATTGAAGGTTTTAATTGAAAAGAATATCACCAAGGCCAAAAATAGCATTTTTTTAGTTAAAGCAAAATGTAATTCAGTGGAAAGCAGTAAAGTATATCATAACTAAACGGATTAGCATATCATAACTACCTTGTTGCCACCACGAGCCTGATCTTGATCACAGGAGGCAATAGGGTTTGAATTAGCGCCTTCTCCCTGCAACCCAAATTGTAAATAGTGATGATGGTGATGATGATAAATCCAATCAAATACAATGATAATGATTTAAACGCCCAAAACATTTTAAATATGCATGGAAAGTTTAAAGACGGAAATGATTATGCCTGAGAAACATCATTATTGCGGTTGGCCATATTGTGAACCTTAATGTCGACATCCAGAATCTCAATTAGGAAGTTACCCTACATTTTCAAATAACCAGATTCAATCGAAAACCCAGTCTTGATCAATGAGGAAAGCCGTTCATCTTGGATCCGTAAAAGAAAAACAAAAAGAAAAGTGAAGGATCCGAAAGTAATACTAACCAATTCAACCCATTCATGAATATATCCAAAAGGGATTAGGAAATGATGAATTATAACGAAAAGTGGGGCAAATTAAAGCTTTTTAGGATTTTTCCTCTTTAAAATGTAAAAAGAAAAGCAAAAATCGATTGATTTTAGTATTTAATTTCTGAGGGAGATGGTAACGCCGGCCCCCATGGAGGACTTTGGATAACGGAAACCCGAAGGTCAAGCACAGCATTGAACTTGGATAGAGAGAGAAATGAGAGAAGACAGCGCAGGACGCAGCCATTGATTTTCATACACGTGTGCCGTACATCTCTCCCCCCAATTGCCCGACTCTTGTTTTGGAGGGAAATTTCATTCCCTGTTTACCCTTGACTTATTCATGTTATTATCCGGCTCTTTTGGTCCCGATAATTGGTACTCCCTCTGATTGATCAACATAAATCACTCTTAATCGTTTACTTTATTTATCAAAAGTTTATGAAATTTGAATTATTTTTAACAGGTTTTGTAGCGGTTTTAATGTATTTTGTGAACATGTAAATTTTATTTTCTAAAACTAATTTGAGTGATGACAGAGATCAATTTGCTTTATTGTCGGTCAAACATCGTAAACCGTAAAGTATCTTACAAATTGGGACGTGTTGAAGGAAATTCTATGTTGTGTGCTATCGTTTAGATAGAATATGTATTAGGGCTTTTCTATGTAAATGATGTATTATGGACCTATTGGCCCGTACTTGTAAACCCTACTCTATCCCTATTTATAGGGGCTCTCGGTAATGAAACTCTACGAACTATTCTTCCTACAACACGTTATCAGCACGAGCCTAACCCTAACCCTAGCTTTCCCTCTCCTTCTCCCTTGTGTTCTGCCGTAGCACAAACAGCCGCCGCTCAGAATCTAGATGTCTATCGTAGTGAAAATGGATGGCTATCGTCCGATGCTTCTCTGTACATCTTCTCTTACTGCCGCCCTTCCATCTCCGTACATTGACACTCAGATCGGCAAGCAACAACAGAGGAGCAACTCTGACTCGGTCTCGTTCATATTCACCGTCGCTCGCTCAATACTCCCTGAGTTGAAGCACGCCGCTCTCCGAATCTGCATATGAAAGCTGTCTAAGCCAGAAGATGGACACCATCACACAACCAGCCTTGCCGCCGGATCTTGTCGCAACTCGCTCCCAACTGCTATCATTCCTCACCTCTGGTCTCAAGTCGCTGCTGAAAGGAGCAGTCCTGCTCATCCATGGATCGACTGGGAGAACCAATGCATACTCACAGATAAACCAAGGTCTGTGCTCATCCTCTGGTTTTATTTTTCCACTAGCCAATAAAACAACCCACCGCATCAACACTTGCATACTCACCGATGAACATCATTGATTTTTTTTAGAGATTAAGTTGTCAATTTTTTGAGATCCATTTCTTGCACCCCAAGTGTTTGATGATATGCCTCATCCATTTTTTTTGAGAGATAGATGCAATTTTTTGTTATACTTCCGTAATGCTATATGTTATAATCATATAGTTGGAATTAATATCACATTATGCATCCCTCTTCGTTTTTATACATCTATGTGATCATACTTTTTCGTAAAACTATATGCCATTAACATATAGTTGGAATCAAAGATCACACGATTAATCTGATGGAGTATATGGCTCGGGAACCCCCGGCCCACAGACTCCTACTACTCCAGTAAAGGCCCAACAGGCCCAGAAGGCCCAACAGGCCCAAAGCATGGCGCCCGGAGTGCCAAGCAGCCCACAGCGCACCAGGGATGCCTTCGACCCCCTGGCCGAAGGCTCTAGACTCTCACAGAACGGGTTTCTCAAGCAAACTAAGAAACTGGGAGAAAACGGCGAAAACAGTAGCCCTCGGCACCAGGGTGCCCTCGGTTTGAGGAGCCCTCGGCTCCTGCTCTATAGCCGAAGGCACCTCACTCGACAAGATCTCCTCTTCACGCGCGTACAGATCACCGTACCCTGTACAACGTCTCATCCAACAGCCGCATTAAATGCGGCCACATGCGGTTGCCAGTGCCAACCAGATGAGGTGACCTCTCGGCCAATGGATGCTCGACACGTGTCCCTGTCCGGCATTTATTGCTACTATAAATAGCACCCCCTTTTCCCCATTGTAAACCACGACATTGATACTGAATACACTCTCTCTTACTTACTTGTGCTCTGACTTCTCTCTAAGTTATTCCCTGCAATAACCCTCGAATAAGCTACCCCCCGGGTACATTATCCATCATTTGGTGCTCTCGTTGAGAGCTCGAACAATCGAGTAAGAAACCCTCCCCCTTCGCCAAACACTAGCCCTCTACCAAAATGGTGAGAACAACACGTGCCAACTCCAAAAACGTAGAAGACAAGAACCTGGCCCTCGGCGACGTCAACGCCCCCGAAGCCTCTCACAGGGCTTCCGAGGGCGGTGTCATCGCCGGGCTGAAACAGGCGGCTGTCGACCTACGCCTTCAGATCCAACAGAATGCCCCCGATGCCCGCCTCAGCATCGAGGCCAAGAAGAAAAACCGGAGCGATGACCAAGTCAGCCCTCCGGTTCTCACCATCGACGTGCAATCGGCGCTCTCCGCCTTCATCCAAACGCTCACTCAGAACCCGGGTGCCTTCGGCACCCTGGCTCCGGCTCAACCCCAGGTTGGGGAGAACATCATACTTCCCCCTCTGCCACACCCCTTCGGAAACCCCACCCCTTGGGTTAGGAACGACGAAGGGGTAGTGGCCCAAGATACGTCCTCCCAAGAAGTTCAGTCCCGGGACCGCCACAATGACAACAGAGAAAGGCCCCGCACTTCCGCCCTCAACCGGCTCGGAGGAGGGCCAGACCGCCGAGGGGTCCAAGACCGCCTCGGAGGGAAAGCACTCCAAAGGCCCCAGGAAAGCGGAGGGTCTGTCTCGAGGGCAGACGAGGAGCGTCCCCCTCGAGACAAAGGCAAGGCACCCCTTCATGCCGATGATGCTCGCCACCAAATCAACCAGGCCCACTCGGCCCGGGTTCGTTCGCAGGGGGCGGAGACCCTCCCGAAGGATCCCCGGGACGAAATTATTGCGGCCCTCCAACGCCGGCTTGACGAAATGGAGGCCAACAAAGCTCACGCCGCCACCTCCGTCCCTCATTCAGACCTCAAATACGAGGCCATGATGGCCAAAATGGAGGAATTACAGAAGAAGGTGGCCGAGGGCTCCGGGGAACCCGTCATCCAGCTCCGGACCCGGACGCCATTTACCCCAACGGTACTGGCGGCCCGGATCCCGGAAAAATACCGAGGGCAACACATACAGCCCTACAACGGGAAGACGGACCCCCAGGAACACTACAGCAAATATCAGAACAACATGATGATGGTAGGGGCGTCGGACGAATATTTGTGTCGTTGGTTCCTCTCCACCTTAGAGGGCCGGCATACGAATGGTTCAACCGGTTGCCCGAGGGCTGCATTGATTCGTGGCAAGAACTCGCCCAGCGACTCTTGACACAATTTGTCGGGAGGCGTCGCACGAGGAAGCACTTCTCCCACCTCCTAACCATACGCCAGAAGAGGGATGAGACCCTTCGGGACTTCCTGGAACGCTGGAGAACGGAGGCCGACAAAGTCGACGGTGCTGACGACGGGACCCTCCTGGCCCTCCTACAAACCGTCCTCCGCACCGGTAACTTTTCAAGGAGCCTCATCATTGAACCCCCCCGCGACTACATAAGGGCCCTGCAGCGGGGGGGACCGATACGCTGAGGCCGAGGAGGTGGAGAAATACCATCAGCACCCAGATCAGCAACCCCCGAGGGCTGACAATAAGAACAACCGGGGGCCGAGGGCTCCTCCAAATCACCCCAAGTCTTCAGGACCCTCTGATGACCGCCCTCGGCAAGGCCAAGCCAAGCCCAGGGGAGGTTATAAGAGCAGCCCTAAGACTTGGGTACAGCCCATCCTCCTGGACCGCCCCCGGACACCATTGACGCACCCCGTCAGCATCATCCTTGATTTTGCCGAGGAGAGGGGCCTCGTTGAGCGCGACTCTCGCGCACCCCCGGAGGTACATGCTATCAACCCTCAGTTTCCCTACTGTCATTTCCATCGGCATCAGGGGCACAGAACCGACGATTGCCACCAGTTAAAAACGGGCATCGAGAGATTGATACAAGCGGGGCACCTGTCCCAATTTGTTCAGAGCCGTCGGCAGGAGGGACCTTCTCATCAGGGACCTCCCCGAGGGCACCACACGAAGGTGAACGCTTGGGTGAACCCGAACACCATCCCCCTCGGCAAGAAGAGGGAGATCGGAAACTTGGAGGAGGAAAAGGAGGAGTACCCCCACTACCAGGAGAAAAAACGCCACATCCTCATGATCACCAGTGGCAATACAGGGGGCGATTCCACCAGCCAGCGAAAGAAGTGGGCTCAATCGCTTTACGTGGGGGAAGTCACTCATATGCCCCCGGTAAAGCGACTGAGGGAGGAACCCATCACCTTCAACAACACAGATCTCCCTCCTACTTCTTCTCCTCACAGGGATGCCTTGGTGATTCGGACTGAAATAAACGACACCATCATTCACCGAACTTACATTGACACGGGCAGCTCCGTCAATGTAATGTACCTCAGCACCTTCAGAGAGCTGCATCTGGAGAGGGGGTCCCTTCGGCCCATTAAGACCCCTTTTGCCGGCTTCACCGGCGATATTATTGATTCCGAGGGGGTAATAACCCTCCCGGTAATCTTCGGCGACGGGCTCCATAGAGCCCAGCTCGAAGTGGAGTTCGTCGTCGTCAACATCGACTGCGCCCACAACATTATCCTCGGCCGGCCAGCCCTCGAGGACCTCGAGGCCATCATCTCCATGAGGCACCTCTGCCTCAAGTTCCCCGCCGAGGGGGGCATTGGCTACTCCCGGGGGAATCAGAAAATTGCCCGTGTTTGCTATCTTCAAGTCACTAAGAAAGTAAGTAAGACGGAATTCCGTGTTGACACCATCACCGGAACCATCGACCAAGAAGAAAAGAGGTCGAGGGCTGAAACAGCCGAGGACGTAGAAGACTTTGCACTCGATCCGGCCAAGCCGGAGAGAGTCGTGAAGATTGGAGCCCAGCTCCCTGAAGATCTGAAGACCGGTATCACCGACGCCCTCCGCGCCTACTCCATTGTCTTTGCATGGGGGCCGGAGGACATGCCGGGAATAAGCCGAAGGGTCATCACCCACCGCCTCTCGGTGGACCCCTCGGCAAAAGCAGTACAGCAACGAAAAAGACCCCTCTCCGCCGAGAGGAGGGAATTTG